CCCCTCTCGTGCCAACAGAACAGTGTATGTAAAGCTCTAATAGCACGAGAGGCGGCCACATAGGGAGCCAATGACAATTATGAGGTATTGTGAATACCCTAACAATTTAGCAGTTTCAGACAGTATTTTTTTTTTCCCCCATTACAACTAAACAAAGTTGAGATTTATTGTGAACGCCTTAAATAAAGTTTGACTGACTCATTTAACTGTTGTGTTTCGTTTAGTCCGTTGCAGTTTATATGTGAAAAAATTCAAAAAAAGACCATTCAGTGACAGTGCGCCTTATAATCCAGAGCGCCCTAAAGTGCGGAAAATACAGTATATAACAAACACAAGCATAATATGTCTTCTAGTTGTGTAACGAGAAGGGTTCGAACACAACCCGCGCACTGTCTTTAGATTACTCAAACATGCATGAACGACATGCAAAACATCCACAGGCGTGTTTTTTGAGGAGGGAACGTTATAAATAGATAGAAAGCTCCAAAAAGTCAATTTTGCATAATACTGACTAGGGTGGTCATTCAGATAAAAATAAACTTGAAATGATACATTGGAAGCCAAACTTGTGGCTGTCTCCCTCACCCTTTCTTTCTGTCTCCCTGTTATAGTGCGCTGAGCTTTGGGAAGATGGCCTTGCGCGCTTGGCCCTCCTCTCCCCCATCTCTCTCTCCTCTGCCCTCCTGTCTCTTCCCCCTCCTCCTCCCTCAAACCTTGAACACTGCCCCCTGGTGGACAGACCTATCTCCTACAGCTCTGTCTTTGCTCCAGAGGGCTCTGAGTTGCCTGAGGTCGTCAGCAGTGTATTAGGCGTAGTCTATGACATCATGGAAAAGGACAAAGAGGAGGAGGAGGAGGAGGAGAGAGAAGAGGCATAGAGGACGAGGTCACTGGACAGAACCTGGTCCCTGGTAGGCATGAGATGATATTGAAATTTAGTGTCATTATTATCATGGCCAAAACAATTGCAGTTAAGGATTATATCATGATGGTTATTAACGTTGCTGACAGTTTAAAAATATTATAGATATGAATATAAATTTTATATTATGAACAGGTTCCATATTTAAACCACTGTTCTAGTATCGTACTTTGTTACAAGTGAAAAAAACAATGATCTAGAAGAGAATATCATGGACAAGTATCTTTTGTCTGCACATTCTTGTGCTAAAAAGGTAGTCATCTTTGTTTGCAATTATCACAGTTACATAAAATGTTCTACCATTGTCTCCTCTCTTGTCTCCCCTTTTTATTATGAGAAATAATATTATTGTTTATTGTCCCATCCATAGTTTCTGGACAGAGCCAGGTACCAGAGTGGGCGCAGCAGGAGCTCAGTCAGACTAAGTTCAGAGGAGGCTGGGCTCAGACCTGGTTTCCTCAGAGCAACCACAGTGGAGTCAGCACCAACCTCATGGAGAACATCAGGTACCCCACACACACACTCCTGTGGATTCAGCTTCAGCAGTTACAGATCACATTTAATGCATAATTATTCTGTATAATCGACTTTTCAGAGCTTTTAACCATGGTATAGCTGTTTCCCCTTCTCGTTTCCCCTCTCAAATTTGTTTTTGGAGTGATACACGCCCACTGTAATGTGTGTGTTGCAGGCTAGTCCTTGCAGTTTCTGAGGATGCCTCTGGGGGGTGTGATGAGGAGCAGGAGTTCATGTCCAACCTGAGTGTGTTGTATCAGAGCTGCACCGGAAAAAAGAAGGGACACAAACGTGAGAATCACCAAGAATTTATTTAGCGACTTTATATAGCCTGGCAAATCCAAACTGATCTCTCTCTGTAGTTTTTCTTTTCTTTTTTCTGATACTGATGGGCTAATCTACATTCTCGACCATCTGAAAATGAGGGTTATATCACTGACTAGACTCAAATCTTTGTAAAGTATTGAAGTGTGTATTTTGGATTCCAGACAAATAAGGAATATGATTTTAAAACAAATATTGTTTCTATTGCCTGGATTAAAGTGTAACCATGTGTACAAAGTTTTCTGATTTTGCCCCATTTTTTGACTGACCATTCCTTGTGTGTCTTGTAGGTGGTGCTCAGAGGACCCCAGTGAAGCAGAAGATGAAAACGATGAGCAGATCATTGCAGATGTTGAACGTGGCTCGATTAAACGTCATAGCTCAAAAAACTCAGTCTGGCTCTGAGCCCAATGGAGCTGAGAAACCCAAGAGGAGGTCTGGAGACAAGGACAAGACCAAGGACCACAACAAGAGTAAGTTTAACTAGGGATGGGCCAATATGGACTTACATTAAAGTAAAGATCATTAATTAACTTTTAAATAATAATCTGTTACATGTTTGTGTAACATACAACCATATAATGCTCTTTTGTTTCCATTGTTCCTCATTAGTCTATTCAGAAAGTCACAGTCTGGGCCAGCAACAAAAATACTGATATTTAATAACAATACCGATACCGGAACCAATATTGTATATATGTATTTAGACTGAATCTTTATAAGAGCTGTGAGCAGACTTTGTACAGGTGAAAAGGTGCTCTAGGTAATGTAGTGATGAGCCTCACAGCAAGAAGGTCCCAAGCCTGATTACAAAGTTCTGTGTGGGAATATTAATTAATTAATATAATATATGTTCTGTTCGTGTCTACCCTATTCTCCTTATTCAATCTAAAACCTGTACAATAATCCTCCAGATACTAGGTAGAGGACACACTCCCTCCTGTATAAACTAATCTGATTTGTAGTTCTACAGGAAATGCACATTATTTTTTTTATTTAACCTTTATGCAGAACTTTATAATCAGGCTTGTGGCTTCGTTACATAAACTAGCTTATGTCCATTTATATATACAGAATATGGTCTGTTTACATGTTTTAAATTGTCTCTTGTTCTTGTGTCCTCAGGTTTCTCGTGTGAGTCTGATCTGGTGCAGTATTTGATGGAGACCTACAGTAAAACTGTATCAGACCAAAGTCAAAATCTGAGCTCTGGGCTCCATATGCTGCTGTCTGCTCTGAAGGTCTATGAAGGAAAAGACACTGAGGTTTGTCTACGAATACTAATACTACTATAAATACTAATAATACGAATTTACTACTTTTGTAATGACTGTCAAAGTAATGTGTAACTAATGTGATCCTTTGTTTCAGGTGAAGCAGTTTGAACTGGTGCAGTCTCACCTGTTGAAGAGCAGTAAGAGCATTCGTCTGCAGTACAGCTCTGCCTCTGACACAGACTATAAGATCAGAGAGTGAGTGTTGTTTAGATAATTCATGTTTATCATTATTGAGATACTTGCACATTTATGTAAATACTTCTGTCTCTAACCCTCCTGTCCTCACAAACCTGTCCTGTTTTCCTGTTTCTCTCAGGTGTCAGCTGCAATGTCTCCTGAGGCTGGAGATCTGTCGACTTGTCTCCGCTTTAAAGCCTGAGTCTGTGGACACCGAGCAAATGGCTGAAGAGGTACATCTTTAAAGAGGGGGTATTATGCAAATATACTTTTTGGAGCTTCGTGTACTTCCACGTTATAACAAGGTTCCCTCATAAAAACCATGCCTGAAGTAGTTTTAGATGTTTTATTTTAATAGATTCTTTTTTCAGAACAAGGTTTAGTTTTTTCATACCTTACAGTCTTGACTGCCCACTACTGGTTTTCCTCAGAGTGGTCACATGGTGTTGCTGTGACATGTTTGGCCAGCTTTAACAGGTTATGGTGCTGTGCTGTCTTCATACTGGTGAAGGCAGGACGAGAGCGGCATCTACAGTCCCGACTTCTCCAGGGGAGCAAAGGGAGAGGGGACTCAGATTGTTAAAAATGAAACTGTAACTTTAGATCAGCTCTCACCCAAAGCTTTGTATAGTGACTATAGTGACTCTATAGTGACACTTGTAAAAAAAAAAGTAATCTGACTTAAAGCTCAAGTACCCAATTTTATCTCTTTTAGTAAGTTAAATGAGCTAATTTTTATGTATCGACATTTATAGTTTGTCCATATATAGACGTTTGGTTCTTGTTTATTTCCAGGTGGCCGAGATGCTGAGAATCATCTCTTTGACCAAAGACCCAGTGTTTCTGACCAGATTCCTCCAGGAAGACATCATTGTTCCTCTGTGAGAATACATTTTTTTATACAACAGTCTTCACACATGTATTCAAATACAACAGATTAACATGTACAAACCAGCCATATTGTAAATAAATTGAAATTTTTGAGTTTTTACAATCCGTCATGTAACTTTATGGTGATTGTTCGGTGAGAGGAGGGATAGCCACCTGCTTGTGTCCCTGGAGATGTTATTGCTTTGCTTGGAATGTTCCACAGTATTGCATGAAACACTTATCTCCATGGAGGTGAGGTCACCAGGCCAAATTGTGCTTAGGAGACCCTGCGCATAGTAAGAAGCATTTTTTTAAGGTGTAAATGCAAAAATCTTTAATGCCTTACTGTGAAGCATTCTAGATGAGACAAAAACCATCTCAGTAGTGGTCATCCCTTCACCAAAATCATTACTGTATAATTTATATTGTTTAATTATTTGAAATCCTGTCTTTCTGTTACAGTTTTCTGTCCTCTATTCCACGTGTTCTGGCTGATGTGTACCACTCTCTGGGCACTCAGCTCCCAGAATGCTTATCAGCCGTCCTGCCCTCAGACTTCTTCAGTGATGAGTCTGTGACGAAAGATTCTCCACTGGAACAACCGGAGTCTAGGGCGCCCTCAACAGAGAGGGGAGAGGGATTGCTGGATTTGAGGGAGAGGTCTGCTGCAAAGAGGAGGTAAGCAGTTTAATATGACATTAATATGATATGTAACATTTTAAGACCACAATGACAAGCCTTACCACAGAGAGAGGCAATAGTTTTTAAATGAAAATTTATTGGACATAGTCAATGGAGCCCATGCTTACTTCCTTTTTGGAGGGCTGGTGGCATAATTTCTGGCCATTTTCTGGTAATACACTCTTATAGGAAATGTAAATTATTTATTTGAAGAATGGAATGTTGACTTGATTAAGCCTGAGAACTTTAATCTAACTTACTGGATGTGTTTCAGGAGCGGGATGTTAACCCGCCATCGCAGTATGACTGAGAGCTCCCAGAGACATATTGAAGTACATCTGCCCAAGAAGAAAGGAGCGGCCATGGTGAGGAGGATTTATAGACAGTTATTCTGTTTAGCCTCAGAAAGCAATAAATTTCCCTGGAATGTTACACCACAGGTAAAAGTTCAAATGTCTCCTGCTCTTTTTAAGTCCATAGATCATCAACACAGACTTATTCAAAATATAAAATATAAACCCACTGCTTCATTCAAAAATATTGAAACAGGCATTCTTACTATCATTACAACTGTGTGTTTGCCTTTTGCATGCCGGCTACATTTCATAAATAGCTTGAATTTGTTTTTTGGATGATTGATTCTCATTGCTGCCAGTAGATGGCGGGCAAATTTAGAGCACAGACTGGTGGAAGGTAATGTATTTTTACTTGGTGATTATTTTAAGTTCTAAAACATTAAAAGTAAAGCAGAGATACTCAACAGTTTAAAGGTCAATCCAAATAATATAATGCATAATGTGCCTTTTAAAGTAATAGTGTTTACTCTTTATCACATTTGTGTTAATATGTTTATCTTTATCTTACGTTCAGACCAAGTCCAAGCCCAGTGTGGCTCCAGTGAAACCTGCTCCTGAACCAGAACCTCCCAAACCCAGGGCTGCTCAGGGTCGGTGTCTAATGTCTCATCAGAGGGTCTCATCAGCGCTGCAACTAATGATTATTTTAGCAGTCAACTGGTCAAACAGTTATTTCTAGTTTACATTGTGACGCTTTCTAGATTCATTATAAATTTAATAAAGCTTCAACTCTGGGGATTGAAGGTTTCTTAATTGTAAATCTGTGTAAATAAAGTGATTTTTTTTGATGATTAAGGTCAATATGAAGTGTGGTGAAGTGTAATAATTTATTATATTTTGCCCACAAATGTTTTTTTTTTTTTTTTACAGAGGTGACTAAAGTGCGCAGAAACCTTTTCAATCAGGAAACACTGTCTTCTTCAAAGAGAAACAAACTTCCTCGCAGTCAGAGCGTGTCAGCAGTGGAGGGGCTCAAGCGTAAGCGCTCCTCTGAACCTGACGGTAAAAACATCTGCTTCTTAAAATTCACACTTGACTGTTAAAGGTCGGAGTATTGAAAATCGGATACTAATCAATACTAAAATTAGTATCAAAACCAGATACTCATTTGAGCAGGTTTTGATACTAAAAAAGTCCCATTCACAGGACAGAAATGAACCTTTCATGAATAACTAGAATGATCTTGAGTTGTACCAGAAGTACTGTATGACTACATGGACTAATATGTGCCCATGTACCATTTTGGAACTTACTTGACGACTCAGGTATTACAAGCCTTACCTTAGTCCTAACTCCTAACCTAAACCTGCCATTTTTCAAAATTTTTGCTTGTGTTATATGAAAAAATAATCCAAGATGGCGAACTTCCAGTTTGGTCACAATATAAATTTTTGTTCCTATTGTCGATGCATCTGGCTATCAAATTTGTTTTGGCTACACTAAAGCTTGTGTAAGGACGTTCCATTGGCCAGGACAGAATTTTGGCCTGTTGCCATGGCAGCACAATGTAAATGGGCTGTGGGCGTCATTGAGTCTTTTAATCGAGACCATGTCACAAATTTGCCCACCAAATTTTGTATATCTATGACAAATAAAACGTTATTGCTCCATACAAATTGTCTAGGGGGTGCTATTGCACCCATTTTTCTATTTTCTAAAGGAAAAAGTTAGGGTAAGAATTTCTCAAACATCTGTTGATAAAACAAAACTCCAAGTATATAACATTAACATGACTTGAAGCTTCCAGGAGTCAATTTTGTGTAATATAGATGTTGTAAATTCCCAGTTTAGCTGTTAGTTCAGTAACTGAACAGGCATTCTTAGACTGCTCAGTGATCCTTGGAAGCACCATGGTAACACTGTTACTGCTAGTCCAACTGCTATAGGTTCATTTCACTTCCCTTAATCAAAGTCTTCATCTATGATAGAGGTGGGCTTGTACATCCATCCATCCATTTTCTTCTGCTTATCTGGGGCCGGGTTGCGGGGACAGCAGTCTAAGCAGGGACTCCCAGACTTCCTTCAAGTGGAGGAGTTCAAGTATCTGGGGTCTTGTTCACGCGTGAGATTAATAGGCGGATCAGTGCAGCGTCGGCATTGATGCGGTCGCTGTATCGGACTGTTGTGGTGAAGATGGAGCTGAGCCAAAAGGCGAAGCTCTCAATTTACTGGTCAGTCTTTGTTCCTACCTTCACCTATGGTCATGAGCTTTGGGTAGTGACTGAAAGGACAAGATCGCAGATAAAAGCGCTCGAAAGGAGTGTCCTCTGCAGGGTGGCTGGGCGCTCCCTTTGAGATAGGGTGAGGAGCTCAGTCACACAGGAGCTCGGAGTAGAGCCGCTGCTCCTCCACGTCAAGGGGAGCCAGTTGAGGTGGCTCAGGCATCTGTTCCGGATGCCTCCTGGACGCCTCCCTCGGGAGGTGTTCCAGGCTTGTCCCAACGGGAGGAGGCCCCGGGGAAGACCCAGGACATGCTGGAGGGACTATGTCTCTCGGCTGACCTGGGAACGCCTTGGGGTCCCCCTGGAGGAGCTGGAGGACGTGTCTGGGGTGAAGGAAGTCTGGGTTTGTAAATTAGTTGTTTATTTGTTTCTTTAATCTTTGTGTAAATGACATATTTTATATTTGATAGGTAATGTGATTGTTTAACAATTGTTCATATATCATATTTTTCGGACTATAAGTCACACCTGTCAAAAAATGCGTAATGAAGAAGAAAAATATATTTATATAAATCGCACAGGACTATGACTCTCACTTTTTTGAGGAAATTTATTTTATAAAATCAGAGACCAGGAACCGACATTTTATCTTGAAAGGCAAGATATAGTAATAACAATAGAATAGAGAACAACAGGCTGAATAGGTGTCTGGTATGTTAACATAACATATTAACAGTTATTCAGATAACTATAGCATAAACATCTTAACATAGGTTTTACAAACTCTCCATCTTACGTCATGTCACTAAGTCCATTGAATTCTTCATCCTCTGTCACTTTTGAGCAACTCCACAACCTCTGGAGGTAAACAGAGTGCCGCTTCCTCTTTTGTGTTGCTGTCGTCAGACTCTGCAGCCTTTCTGAATCGTGATGGTTTCGGTGTAACTGAAGTCCTTTGTCAGTTCATTCAATGACTTCCAGGAAAGTTCCAAGGTGCACTCTCCCGGTTACCGTGAAGCTGTGTTCCCCATCCCCGCTTTCTGCCAGTCCCTCACAAGTTGCTCGCTCTCTCCCAAATTTCTTTCTGCTGCTCAATTACTGTTTTCGGCTGCGTATTTCACTACTTGCAGCACGACAGTGGATTTTTCTGCAGGAGACATGCTCAGAAAACTGACATACAAGCCTAGAGCGCCCTCTGTCAGTCTGAAAACCTTAAGTTGCACCAGAGTATAAATCGCAGGACCACCCAAACCATGAAAAAAATTGCGACTTATAGTCTGAAAAATATGGTACTGATTCTGTGTGCTAAGTATTACTACACTGTTAGTTATTTCAGTTAATAATATAATTAAAATGTTCCTATAGATAACCAGATATAAGGATAGTTCAGACGAAAGGCTAGAAAAACGGACAGATAAAAGATAGAACAGAAAGAAAGGACATTAAAGCTCATCAAATCCATTCAAGTGTCGTCTTCACTCTGACCGGAGTATTGTTTGGATGAAGTGCCCCAGCATACATCGCCGTCTACAGTCCTAAGATATCTCCAATAATAGGACCTTAAATTCTATGATGACCCACTGAACCCTTGTCTCCATTTCAGATCACCACAAACTGCTAACCAAGAAAGTGTGTGAGACTCCTCTGCACAAACAAGTATCCAACCGCCTTCTGCACAAACAGAGGATGGGACGGTAAATACTACTAGAAAATTATATACTTAAGAACTACAGAGTATTGCTCATACTAAACAGGGGTGTAACTGTACATGCGAGTGTAGTGAATCGTTTTTGGTACCGCATGTTAGCTTCTGTCCACATGCAGTATTTTTTTCATAATAAAATCTACTAGGGTGTTCTTTAGCACTGGCACAGCAATAGGTCTCCAGCGTTTTTCCTCCTGTGAGTTACTTTTACAAAATGAAAATGCCAAAGAGCTCCTCATTTTAGTGGTCACAAGAAACTGAATAAATTTAAGAGCCGCAGCCTAAGATGGGGCACAGTTAGATGTTTATACGCTTACAATGTTCACGTTAGTCATCAAAATGACACATTTACAATTGTTATAGCCTTTTAATCATTCCGATTTTAGCTATTCAGCACAATGCGTGTAATTCAGAAATCCCTTGGCGAGCTACTTGGAAGGGAGTGGAGAGCTACTGGTAGCCCCTGAGCCTATGGTTGGAGATCCATGGTATAACAACCATATTGTGCTTTCAATATAATTATTCATTATTCATTTAGACACATCAGGCAGTATGCAAAAGCATGGTTTAACAGATGTTATTTTATTGTAATTTTTTTATAAATATTTCATTTTAGGGAATTTAGGTCAAATTATCTTTATTGATTTGGTTAACTTTATGTATTTTAGAATTGATTTAATGCATTTTGCAACTTATTTCTTAATTATTATTTTTTTCATCTTTTTTCTGTACTGAAAATATTCCAAGATGCCTTCCAAAATCCAAAACCAAACTAAGTCATTTTAGTCCTTTGTTACAGCCCTAATGCTAAACTGTCAATGTTTTATTTGCAGGAGGTCAAATCCGTTAGAAGAGTGCATCGTGGAGGAGTCTCCAGTCAAACCCACTGAAGGTACAGACCTGGGTCAGTCTAACAACTAATAACTATCAGGGTTGGACGCACTGCTTCAACTTTTACTCTATGCAGCACTTGAGAAATTCTTTATAAAATGTGCTGTACAAATAAAATGGATTGAATTGGAATTTTTGACCGGCCAATACTTTTGGGTAGTAATTGTAATTTTTTTTCCTTCTGTCATTTAATCTGATTTGGTGATCCTGGCTGCGATTATATGTATACTCAAAATTGTATTATCAGATTTTTTGACATGTAAATAATGAAATTATCTGTTTTTCTGATTATGATCCCTCTGATTACTCACATCACATTTTTACATTTTACATGTAATTAAATCTTACAGGTCCAGAAATCGGATTATAATCAGATTCTGGTGTGCATGTAAACATAGCCACTATGACTATGCATCAGATTACTTTGATTCTTCACACCTGTGCAGGTTTTTAAATTTATGCAAAAAGGGCAAACTAATGAGGAAAAAACAAAAAGAAAAGTGTTAAGAACTTAAGAGTAATTGAGAATTTACTTCGACTTTGTCTTCCAAATATCACAGTTAATCTACAAATCCATCTCTTTCTCTCGCTCATTCTCTTTTTCTCTCCTCTTCAGATCTTCGCAGGAGTCCTCGTCTGAAGCAGTTTTCTCGTCGTCACTCATTTTACTCCAGTTCTCAGCCCCGTTCTCGAGCCCTGGACCGCGCCCTCTCCTCGTCTCTCCTTTCTTCCTCTCAGCCCTCTTCCTCTGTCCCCCCCTCCTCTCTCCTCTCCTCTTCTTTCTCTGAGGTAAACGTTTGCTCCGTTCGCTCTCCCATGAGGCTTCTCTTTGGTGAGGCTCAGAGCCCTCACAGACCCCGACAAGAGCAGGGCAGAGCCAGTAGGAACGACAGGTGTGGCAGAACCAGGCTCTCCACTTCCTCCAGTGTCTTTGAGGTAAGGATTATATAAATAAGGAATTTAATGGAGTTTAGTTATAGTTTTTAGAGTTTAGGTATAGCTTGTTAGATAAAATTTTAAATGTGCACTATGTAACTTTTCTGGTGGTGGTTTCGCCATCTGTTTGTCTCCAGGGAGATGGTATTGCTTTGCATGGAATGTTCCACAGTATGGCACTATATTTATCCATGCTGCATTAAGTTTTAGTTTATTGCTTAGAAAAACACCTAGAAAAACATGCTTTTGTTTACTTTTTGACACTGTTTGGCTAATATATCTCTGAGACTTTTGCACTACTGCCACAAACATGGCAGATTTACATGGTAACAGCTGTTTTTTTTTTATATTCCTTCTTGAATTCTGTATTCTATTATAATTTTTCTTTTTTTCCAGAGTCCAAATAAAACTCCCACCAAGTCTCCGGGCCGACGCAGTTTATTCGGAAGCACGACTCCCAAAACTCCTAAAACACCCAAAACTCCTCCATCTTCAAGGATGAGATTTAATGATAGTCCAGCTTTTAACACACGAAATAGCCCATTCAAGTCACCCACCGCCAGAGGAAGCCCTTTCAAATCCCCCTGCAGACGAGAACTGGTTTTAGAGACACCAAACAAGAACAGCCCGCTCAAAAGTATCCTGAAAACACCGGTCAAAAAAACTGTAACTCCAAGGAAAACTGTAACGTGGTCACCTACCCCACAAGTGTCTGAAAACTCTCAATTCAAGGTCCCAGAATCTCCAAACATGACAACGTTTGTACTTAAAACTCCAGATAAATTTGGGCAAAAAGTTGAAATTTTGAAAACACCGGATAAATTGCCAGATGATATCTTTGGATGTCAAGTCAATTTGGTGAAAATTTCTCCTAAAAATTCCAACAAAATGGAAGACAAAACATTGGAAACGCCACCTTCTCAAAAGAGAAATGTCAGGTTCAGTCCAGCTTTACAAATAGCGACTCATTCGGCTAAAAGTTTGATATTTGAAACACCACAAAAACAAAATCCAGAAAGAGGAATATTGCAAAAATCGCCAGGAAAATCTTTGCGTTCAACTAGGACATCTACAAATTCAAAATTGCCATCCACAAATGTCTCACTTCAGCAAAATGAGGAAATAACTGAAGTTTCTTTCAAAGCCCGAAAATCTCCAAGATCAAGACTCAATGAAGGTGAAAATTCTAAACAAAATCCTAATATTGTGGTGGAATTTTCAACAGGAAGTTCCCCAGAAGTAAGAATTCCAACCAAAGTGAAAAGAGACGCAAAAACCAGTCTGAACTTTGGAACCGGAGATGGAAAGAGGAGACTGACAAGACAGAATTCCAAATCACATTCCAATGAAGATTTGGGAAGTTTAAATGATAGTTTGAAAGTGCAGAATGATTCTGAAGCTGGAACTTTTCAAATATCAAAGCGCAATTCACGATCAAGGTCTAACGGAAGTATTTGCAACCAAGAAACTCCAGACATTTGTAAGAATTTGATACTGGACAAGACAGGAACAAGGCAAAAACATTCTAAATCTAATGATGGATTGGAGCAAAATTTGGGAGCTGCAGATGATTTGATGCAAGAAAATTCAGGAAATGTACAACAAAAAGAAACAGATTTGGTTTCTCCAAAAGCAAAGACGACAAGAAAAAAGACTAAGTCAAGGTCTAAGGATGGTGTCAGTTCAAAATTAGGAGATGAATTTGAAGATTCTGAGCAAGAAAAGCAGCCGAGTATAACACAGAAAGCAAAACCCAGGTCACAAGAAAAGATTTCTGAAGGTTTGAACCAAAAAGTGGAGGATCTTGTCGAGGAAAAATCAACAAATCCTAAAGTTAAACAGCAAAACTCCAAGACAAGATCGAATGACGGCATTTCGAACCCAGAAACTGAAGATTTGATGCCAGAAAAATCACCAAATTTGAGGAAAAGGAGAAGGGAGAATTCAGTTTTACAAGAAATCTGTGAAAACCTGTCAAACTCAAAAGAAAATTTGAGCAAAGAGGATGTCACGTCTTCAGATATTGCAGAAACTAGTAAAAAATCAGATTTGGAAGAAGAAATTCAAAACGATTCCAGTTTGCAGTTGGCTTCCACAGACGATGACAGTGTCGACATTGTTAACGCCTCTGTCGTCAAAGCGCAGGGTCTCAAAATGAACATTAGCTTTTCACGCAAACCCTCGAAAACCGGAGATGACTTTTTGTCCGATATTTCATCACCAAAAAATCCCAAAGGAACGCCAGCGAGGAGCTATGGTTTCCGCCAAACTCCGGATCGACGACAACGTGAGGCAGCTGTGCGTCTGGGCTATGCTAATGAATTCTTCAACCCCACGCGGAGTTGGCAAGAAGGACACCTGCTTAACTTACCAAGTGGAGATGGAAATGCAATCATCAGGGTTGCCTAAACTGAAACTTAAACGGACCGATTCGGATTTGGGAAGTCCAGTGGTGCAAAAGAAGACTAGAGCAGACGTAGGTTGTGTTTCCCCATCAGTTTGCTCTCACAGAACTCCAGCGAAAAGGACTAAACCAGGGACACAGATGTATATTTGTCAGTCATACACACCCACGAGAGTCCAGAGTTCACCTGTAGCCACCTCCGACACATTTACACTCTCGCCATCTCCTCAGAGTGCTGGGAAACTCACTCCTGATTACCTCAACAGCTGGCCCAGAAAAAAGAGGGTCAAGGTGCAAGAGGGAGGAGCTAAGGAGAGGAGGGCAGAGGAGGGTCAGGTGAGTGGGACAGTTAAGGTTTACACCTGGTTTAGATCTGCTTAAGACCTTATTTAGTTCTTGTTTAGACTAAGGATGCGCCAGTGCCATAGTGGTATCAGATGTTGGTGCCAATTGGTGTAGTAAGACAATTTACTAGTCAAGTTTGGCTCAAAACATAATAATATTAAAGCCACACGCGGCGATGGTGGCCCTGACCCCGGCGCACACTCCCCTCCCACGCGACCGCCGGGGACTCGCGATTGCCCCCGCACGCCACTCTCTCTTCCTGACATCCGCCCAGGCCAACAGCTCGTCCATTAGACACGTTACATAATGCACCTTTAAATATTTTTAGGAGTCATTGCGCCCCTGCTGGCCAACAGTGGAAAATGCACAATGTCCGTTATTTATTTTTTTGCTCATAATCATGCATAGGACTTATTCCGTGAATTTTTTACAAATCCAATAATGTTGACGTTTAATGTCTATCCTAGGGGGCGCTATAGTGTTCACTTTCCATATGCTTTATAGTAGATTATAATCAGGCTGTGATCAGGTCTTTATGATTCAGGTTTCAGCACGATTGGACTAAGCTTGTGTGTGTAATCATTTTTTAACTATTTTTGGGGGGAGTCCTTGCGCCCCTGCTGGCCAACCATGAAAAATGCACCATGTCCATAATAGACTTTCTGACTTGTAATCATACATAGAATTTAATCCCGGAATTTGGTCCAAATCCGATAATGTTGTCGTTTCATGTCTATGCTAGGGGGCGCTATAGTGTTCACTTTTATTAGATTTCATTTTTCATTACATTCAGGCCTGGATCACACAATTGTGATTTGAATTTGAGCTCTCTAGGACAATGCCTGTGGCCGTGACAGGTCACAGAAGAAACGGGAAATGAAGGCGTTTTTCGCCAGCATGCTACAGGCAAACTGTAAGGAGTATCAAAAAACCTTCTGATGCATTTTGTGAGTTTATGTCTGTAGATGTGACATGTCAAATCTGAGCTCATTTGGACTAAACCCCAGGGACTTGAATCTTTTTGTAGACACCCAAGTCAAAATTGCGGTAAATGTTTGATCCAATATGGCCGACTTCCTGTTCGTCATAGGGTCATGCTCCAATTCATCTTTTGGCTTGTCTCATTGTTCTCTATCACTGTCCCGAATTTCATTTCTCTGTGACAAACTTTGCCTGTAACCACTCCCATAGGGGTCCAATTCTAGGCGGCGCTGTTGAGTCGGATCACGTTGGGCATTGTCGCTCATTTTATCAAATTTTTCACAGGACCGGTCGATCTGAACCCGGGTTTGGGGACTTTTCATCAATGTTCAGGCCCTCAAAATCGCGATCGTTTGCAAGGAAAAATAATAAACAACCGTAAGAAACCGAAGAAGAACAATAGCCCTCGCCAGTTACGTTACTGGCTTGGGCCAATTAGTAACATTAAACTTCTATTTTTACAAATGTGTTCTGTTACTTTATAAATGATCCAAATGTAATTGTTATTTATCTTAAAGGAAATAAATAATATTTCAGTCTTTGCCCTAATATTGTCTGATATTGGGTATTAGCAAATACTTAAAGGCAAAGTTTAAGTAAGCCACATAGCTGTATCATTACTGGTTTAGTCCTGATTCAGACCTGGTTAGTCCTTAATTCTTGTTTAGATCCTGGTTTACCCTTTCTTTAGACCTGATTTAGACCTTGGTTTGGTCTTTATTTAAGTCCTGGTTAAAGCCTTTAGACTTGATTTAATTAGACCCTGTTCCTAGTTTAGTTCTAATTTGTAGAGGTAAAAATCATGGATTTGCTTTGATTATAAATGGTTACGTTCAAGAGCCTCAAAGCGCTTTAATATTGTTTTCTGAATGTAATGTTTTCAGGTGGAGGAGGGAGTGAAGGAGCGGTGCATTGCATTGTACCATGTGGGAGCTTTGGAGTGTGAGCTAGGCGTTGGTCGGCTGCAAGATCTAGAGGAGGAGCAGAGGATGTCTCCGGAGCAAGGACTGATGTGGATGGACAAGATGGAGGATGATTTCTGGAGCGGAGACACAGGGGCAGGTGAGAGGAGAGGTGTGAGGAGAGGTGTGGTAAACTGAAGTCTGATAGAAGTTTGTGTCACTGAAGCTTTTGGTGTCTTGACTTTGACCTCTCATTCCTCAATGCTGCTCTGTGAGCCCAAATCAACCGAAGAATCAGAGCTTTTAGACCAATCAAAGCAGCAGCAGGAGCAATTCAAGATGGATTATTGTGAGTTTGTGGTCACAGGAATATCAGAGAATTCATCTTCTGGCTCCAGTGATCTTGTAGGTATAGAGAATAAGTTAACTCTGACCTGGGCCACCAGTGACTTGGAGACTGGACCATATATAGGGCAGCATTGTGATTTGGGAAGAGTCAAACAAACCAACCATGGCAACAGACATACGAGTTGAGCCTGTTAATACAGAAATACAGACTATTTAGTTTGTGACAAATTTGCAGAAAGAAACACTTAAGGATGGAAAAATATCAGTGCTTTTCTCTCAACTGAATTTAAAGGTCCAGCTTTAAGCTATGTTAGAATGTTACCACCTCATCACCTTGTTTGTTTTGTTTTTCATTCACAATTCTTTATTATTAGTTTGTCTACATCTCCAGAGCTCAAAATGCTCTGCTCCACCTTGTGATTTCATGTTGGCTTGAAAGCTACCACTACTTTTTGTTCAGTAGAGTTGGTCAATTCCAGGACTGAAATTATCCAAATGATTCAAGTGGAGTTTAAAAACACAGCAGAGCTCTTCCTGTTGTACCACATGACATCACAAGTTTAAGAAAAAAACTCAGCTTAAATATGCATTATTTGTGTGTTAAGCATGTGTGAATGAAACAAAATGCAACTTCAGGCTTTGTTGAGGAAACAGCTTTATAACATGGATCAGAATCTAGCGTAATATGGGCCCTTGTAAATTTGCTTGTTCTGCTCTCGTGATGCTTCAACCAATCAGCTATTGGCAATCTGTCTTCCCTTCTTGCTCCTTAGGTGCTACACCCCCTCCAAGAAGAGGAAACCAGTCACAGCCAGCGGGATTTTGGCTCTGACCAACTCTCCTCTACTGTTCAAGACGTCATCTGCCTCCAAGAACACCCCAAACAGGACAGGTGAGGAAAGGCGGCAGGTGAGCAGGGTGGCAGGTGAGGGATAGGGGCTGTGGGAGTACCATGATTTTGTCCTGGTTTTCTTTAGTCTTGGAATTGTCCTTGAGTTGGACCTGGTTTCTGTTCAGTTCAACTTTGGTTTAGACCTGATTTTTACTGTCTTAAAAATCTGATAAACAGAACTAATTTTAAACGGTTTGCAGTCGTCCAAAGTTATTCCACATTTATCTTACGCATTCAGAGCATCCTAATTATTCACCAGCATGAGCTTATAAGCGCTTTTCACAACTCTGAGAACAGAACAGGCTTCTACAGTCATGGTAACGCTAACAGCAACATGTTAACATGCACTTCATGATTCTCAAACAATAAAATGCTTTATAATTAGATGCAAACAGTATACAACACTCTTAGTTTGACCTCACAAGCTGCTATTACAATATATCTACTGGGGCAAGAGGAATTTTGCTCAAATACATGGAAAAGATCAGGTACAAGGCCTTTGTAACCTTGTTTTTTCCCAGTTTTAACATACAAGCATTGTTAAACTTCACCTTTTTTGTGTCCTTATATATTTGTTGTTGAGCTGATCCTGTGACCTGTGAGGTTTGCACCTAATAAATCCCTTCTTTTTGTTTGCAGGAGAGTCCACGTTCGATCCTGATATTTCTCCTTTTGAAAAACCAATCCGACACTCCACCACCAAAACCTACAGTCGCAAGAGACTGCTGCCTTAGAACAAAACATTTTAAATATTGAAAAAAGACTGCTGCTATAGAACACGGTACCTTCAGTACTACAGACCCAAAAAGGAATAGTTATAGTTACAAGAGATTGTTGGTTTACATTAATCTAAAATGAGTCCATGACAATCAAGACCGTTGGTTGAATAAAATTGGAAAGCTGCACATTTAGGCCCAATCAGAACAGAAATGGCGCAAGTGGTTGACATAATAAAGACACACTACATTACCTCTCTGGAATGGGGGTCTCTATGGAGATGCTATTGCTTTCCCTGGGTTGTTCCATTGTATGGCATTAAACATCTAATGCCAAACGGTAACCCTGGATTCATGTGTTCTTACTATGAGCGGGTTCATCTCTCCACAGATCTGACCTGTAATTTTATTTAACTTGATTTCACAGAGATATGGTTTTGGTATTGTGCAAAATCAATTGTTTTAAGCTTTCTACCTCATTGCAACATTCCCTCATCAAAAACATGTCTGAAGAGATTTTAGATGTTAACTGTGCTTGTTTGAGTGTTTTAGCGATCTCTCCTGGATCCTATTTGAGCCCTCCTTATAACTGCAATGCTCTGCCCACAAGCCTATGTGACACATGTTCCCTAACAACAATTCTACATAAATATACAAAAGCAGGAGATACAATTTTACACAACAACTTCACAAACTTGACAGGATGTGCAGTAGATGCATTAGTGGGTGAGTTGTGTTTTGATAGCGCTCTGAGGGGGAGTAACTTAACACGGGAAGCAAACGGAGAGGGGGTCTTGAAGTGTCAGACACAAAAGTGAAACATGTTGATACATTTTTCAGCAAATTAGCATTTTCAAAATGATAAAATGGTGATCTAAATATGCTATGTGTTAGGAGTTAGTACCCCATAGAAGTTTAATTCCCCTCTTTAATGACATACTGTGGAGCATTCCAGGCAGGTCTCTGTGGAGATAAGCAAGTAGCAGAACCTCCTCTGAAAAAGTTGCATAGTGCAACTTTAAATAAAATGTTATCTCAAGAAATATTTCCAGTTTAAATTTCTTTCACATTAAATTGAATTCCTGTACCTTTAGAGAAGCCTGTTTGTCTCTCTCTGCATGAATTAGTAAGTAAATTATTTAAATTTCCTTTCAAATGACAATTCTAATGTAAATTGAAATTCTCAATCTGGAGCTGTTCACATCCATTTATTGTTCCTCAAATTTTTAATCAAGACTGAAGTAACATGTGACCATATTAAGTATTTATTTTAATTTAGTCTCAAACTGTTTTAAGGAAAAGGAGCTGTCTATGTTGTAAATATTGTTTCAAACTAATGTAAATAAATGGAGATTTTAATGTTTATCTGTTTTGGTTTTGTGCTTATGTCATTTTTAAGCAGTCCTAATATTTTTTATTTTTTTATTTTTTTTTAGCTTAAATTCAGAATCTTCAGTAGAGATTTGCAATTCCAGGGCTGAAATCATCCAAGTGATTCTGCTGAACGTGTATGGAGTTTAGAAACACAGTGGAGCACTTTCTGAATTATCACATGACATCACAAGGTGGAGTGTTTCTGAAGAACACAGCCTAATTATGTGGTATTTGTGTGTTAAAAATTGTGAATGAAATTAAACTCAACAGTATGTTTTAATGAGGAAACAACGTTATAACAGATTAGAATATAATGTAATTATAGGTTCTTGGGTTTCTTTATTCTCCAGTAAAGTAAATATATAAAATTATACGACGTTTTAGTGTAAGTACATTGAATTCGTGTTCACTGTTTGACGTAAAGTTCTACTAAAAAAAAACTAAAAAACGTGGGCGTGGTTTGGTGCACCTTACTTCCTGTTTTGATTTCATGAAGTGAAAGCAGCATGTATCAGTTAGAACATGGATCTGTAAAGTATTACTGAAAGCATGGATTAAACTGGAGACAGATTTGAAGTAAATAACATAAATACAAATGGAATAAAAGTTAATGAACGTGCAGTGACTCCGCGGGTGGAATGGAGCTGCGGAGTTTATAGCGACGGGAAACTGTCGGGACCAAACCGAAAATAGGAGTAAGGAGCCGGGGCCGAACCGAACCAAGCTCCGAAAGAAACTGAGAAGCAGCGGGACGGAGGTGAGGGGACCTGAGCAGCTGTCACAGGGTTAGAATCCTGGGTTAGTCCTGGTTTAGACATGGTTTAGGACTGGTTTAATCATGGTTTAATGATGGTTTAGGTCTGATTTATGGCTAACTTGTTTGGACCATGGTTCCATAAATCTTGTTTTAAACTTCATTGAGGCCTGGTATAATCCTGGTTCAGTCCTGGTTCAGTCCTGGTTTAGGCCTCCGACCTGAAGTGTGTCTGAGGATCACCTCACTTAATTGCAATTACTGTGTAGATTAACTTTGATAAATGTGACAAACGTATAAAGAGTTAATTTGTAAAAACGGATAGAGCCATTTATAAAAGTTCCAATTGCTCACAGCTTATGGTTTGTATAGTAATATTTCCAAAAGCCAAAAGTATTTTTGGTGTAATTAAAATATTATAAAATTGTAAAACATATTTTTTTGAAAATGGAACAGGAGTTTGTTTTGTCTAAGTAGCAGTAGTAGTGGTGGTAGAAATATTCATATTTCATCTTTATTACAGACCATGTCAGACCTGGATGTCTCCCTGCAGCGCTCTCTGGTTTTGGGTCTGGAGGTTTTGGATCGGGCATCCAAACGGAAAGTGGACTGGACCCAGATCAGTCCTGCAAGCTGCAGCTCCGACAGCACCCAGAGAGAATCCAGAGAAGAGACATATCAAGAGATGCAACAAGAGAACCCAGAGCAGGGGGCACAGGTCTGAAATCTAACTCTGTAATTCAGTGTCTTGGTCTTGGTTTAGTTCTGGTTTAGTTCTGACTTTAATGCTTGTTTTTTCACAGAGAGTTGGTGTGAAGTTGACCAAAGCTTTTTCCTCTCTCTCTGAGTTTATGTCTCAAACATCGCTGCTCTGTCAGGTCTGACTTTTAATTCACTTTTTCATTGTCTTATTAAATTAAAGTTCCTATATATTTCCTGTCTTTTACTTTAAAAAAAAAATGGTATCACAATCACAATTTGCCAGGTTGCCAGAGTTTTAACCTGCACATAGAAGACACATCCAAGTTTTTTTTCATTCTCAGTATATAGACAGGTGAAAGCTCAGAACCTCCAGAATTCCCTCACTGAGTTGCAGAGGCTGCACTAGCACTGAGTCATGACTGGCTGCAGATGCTGGGGTTTAGGTAGTGACCAATCAGATCAGAGCTAGGCACTTTAGGTTTAAACCAACTGGAGTTCAGCATTGAAACTGGCACCCTAAAGAGAGTCATGTGAGACTTTCTGCTTTCTGATTGTATAATGGTTTTGAGAAACAAAACACCAAATTATAAAAAGGACTTCATGTCCAGTGTTTTTTAAATTAAGAGTACATCAGCATTAGAACTGCATATAAAAGCTATACTTGATATGAACATGTTTACCTTATAACTGGGGGCACAGAGAGGTCATGTTTATGAAATTTTAAATCAAAATCTTACATACAGTTCCTTTAATATTACTTAAATTGTAATTACATATGTGTATTATTTCAGAAGTACCATGTGTCTCTGGCCTCCCTCTCACACTCGGAGCAGACTCATGTTTGCCGGTTCCATGGTTCCTCCTCTGCCTCTCTCTCCCCAACCACACACCTTCAGGTAAAATTATGTCACTGCTGTTTTTCTGACTAACATTATGTTTGTAGAAGATTAAAAACTACAAGGCTAGCAGCATTTACACATAAGACCCCATGGAGACACAGGGTGGGCATCTGACACAGTTCTTCTTGTTTTTAGTCTGGTGAGGACTTTTACATCGAGGTTCGTCCAGGCACTTACTCTGTTACTGCCTCTGCCCTTGAGTCTCCACGGCAACACTCTCACCTGGTCTCTGGCAGTGAGTCTCTGCAGCAACAGACTCATCTGGTCTCTCTGGACGATGGAGACAGCGTCCTCTTGACCTTTCACCTCTGACACCCGTGTGACCCAGCGCATATTCAATACAATCCTGTATCAAAGTTCAGAGTTTTTAAGGGTTATTTTTTTATGCAAATCATATCTAACACAACATAAGGATTATACATGCTAAAACATATGTAATCATTTTTTACTATAGAGCTTCAGAAAATGTTTTCAACACACACTATTCAACCCCAAAGATGTAATTGTTGTCAATTGGACTTTAAGGCATAAGATTAATATGACAAGTTTGTGGAGCGAATCTCAAACAATATTTCTTAGGGGCTGTTCCAGTTTTATTCTTGGTATTTTTTTGCCTGAAAAATCTAGACTGATATCTCTGTATTTTTTATGTAGAGGTATACTGTATCAGTCTGGTCACCACACACACACCATTGTAGAATCAGATTTGTTGTTTCTGTGATGCATGAGTTTAGTGCTTTTCTCTTTGATTCTACAGAAGTCTGCTATGTTTTTCAGTGCCATGTAATATTTTTGTCCTTTCTTTTATCCTTGTAAGCAGCCATACTTGTTTTGATACAGATGGACCATTGACTAATCTACCTCTCAATCACGCTCAGGGAGATTCACCAGTGACCAGACTCACATCTTCAGAAAATATTAGAAAACTGTGTGTTCTTGATCCTAGGCAAGTTATTTCCTGTAGTGTAACTTTAATGATATATATATAATATTTTCAAAATGCACTTAAATTACTCATTAGGATTTGACCATAACAGTATTTAAACCTGCACAACAACATCATGGTGTTCAAATATAAACTTTATTTTCTTGTCTGTTTTTGGAGAATTATGAAACGCGCAGATTTTATTTTTTTTTTAAATAAAAAGTATATTTTCAACATTTTGTGTGAATTATGTTATGAAAATTATGAATGACTAGGCTATAGTGGAGTATTGACCATCACTTGCTTGTCTCCATGGAGTGGACAGTATATGGTTGTTTTGCTTAGAGTATTCCACAGTAAGGCATAAATCTTTTCAATCTTCATGGAGAAAAACAGGTAACTAGTATTTAGTAAGTATTTTTGGCAATAAAAACAACTATTTCCATAGAAACAAGCTCAGGTAACAGACCCTTCACCAGAAAAGTTACACAGTGCAGCAATAAAGCAGCTCTGTGCTCAAACACAGTCACACCCACCTACTGAGTGACAGGTGGAGTTAACCAATCACAGTGAAGTATTTACTCTAGGACTGAGTTACGTTTTATATAAGCTCATACTATAACTGTACAAAATGTGACTCAATACAGACGTTTAAACAACCGATCTTGGCCTGTGAAAGGCAGCTGACGGGGGCCTCTGATTAGCTGGATTCTGTGGTGGGTGTGGTCTGTATTTGAAAAGTCCACCTCCTCTCGTGTGATTGGCCAGCAGCTGAAACACTGCACTGTGATTGGTTGAGGATCTGCTCTGCGGGGAAGGGAACATGACATAAGAAAACTGCGGAGGTCTCCTGGTCACAGCACCTCCTGCAGGCACACACAGAGAATAACAATATGAAATATTTAGATTTTAAAATCCAAAGAAACGTGTCTATAAAAAGGTCTGGTTTAGTCCTCGGTTAGTTCTGGTTTGGATCGACTTTAGTCCTGGTTTTGTCTTAGTTTTGGCTCTGCTTTAGTCTTGGGTTTAGTCCTGGTTCAGACCTACTTTAATCCTGGTTTAATCTGGTTCAGTCTTTGTTCAGTCCTGGTTTAGTCCTGGTTTAGTGCTGATTCAGACCTGGTTTCTTGTGTTGTGGTTCAGGTCCTGTCCTTCTCCAGTATCTCCAGGGGGGACGCTCTCTCCTCTGATGTGTCCTCTTGAACTCTGACCCCCCCTCCTTCTCTTCCTCTTCCTCTTCCTCCTCCTCCTCCTCCTGTTCTTCTCTGGTCCGGACCTGGTCTGAGCAGAACCCGGAGTCAGACCTTATACCTTGTTCAGACTCGATTAGTCCTGGTTCAGACCAGGTTAGTCCAGTTTTAGCACTGGTCTGGTTCCAGAGGCAGCAGCATAGACAGGGAGGAGGTGAAGGACAGGTGATGCAGTCACCGTTGTAACAGAGGGTTGGACATCTGATATGGTTGTCATGGAAACACATGGATGACTCTTTTTATAAATTGCTTTTCAGAGTGTATCATACTTTATACTTTTACACACACACACACGCATATATGGAGCTTTTTGTGATGGAGCTATTAACTCTGAACCATAAATTTACTCTTATCACCTCTGTCCTCGGTGCAGCTCTTTGGGGAGTGATGGACAAGTGGTGCGGTCGCTATGGTAACAGGCACAGGATTGACAGCCTACCCGGAACAGCTCTCGTGAGATTCTGTAGAAGAGGTTTTGGGGCAGAGGACACAGGGAGGACAGAGGAGAGATGGAGACATGACTGTCCCAGAGGAGGACACGAACCAAAGGATCTGAAAGAGAGAAATATAAAAACATATTATTAAACTCATAAAGAGAGAGACTCTAATATAAGACCAGCTTAAACACATAGCACATTTTACTACTGATACGTTGCTGTGGCATCATGCTGGGGGGGGGGTTCTGCCTGAATATCTATGGTGTAATGTTCAGCCGTTACCATTGTGACACAATGCACACATTAGTAAACACTGTTAAAAAGTTTTAAGATAGTCTGAACACTCAAGAAAAAATACAAAATGGATTAAAACAGTACATTTTCAGGATCATATAATCAGCTTTTTTGACAGTGTTGGCAAATGTGTACATTGTGTCACCATGGTAACTGCTGAACATTCCATCATAGACACACATGTAGAACACCCCCAGAATGATGTCAAAGTATCAAATCTTCCTACCTGAGATCTCCTTTGTCACTGAGACCACTCTCCCAGGTCCAAAACGCTCAGACCCAAGTCCAAACTGTAATCCTGGTTCAGATCCTGGTCTGGTCCCTGGCCCCAGTGCATGATGGGAGCTGTAGTCCACACTGATGGGGCAGAGAACAGTGTCTCCAGGTCTGAGACATTTGAGTCGACTCTGATCAAACTGAACCATGTCAAGAGCAGAGAGGAGCTGTCGAGAGCCATAGAACTGCACTACCCACAATCCCCTGCAGCTCTAAGGACAAACACAACACAGGTTAAGATGCCCTCCCAGTGACTCAGATGCCCTCCCATTCTGTGGCCCTGTGAGTCAGATGAGCACAGAGCAACTGCCAAGAGCCCAGGAACTGCGCCAGCCACACAGAGTGCTAGCTCTGAGGAAAAACAGGAGCATGGGTTACATCAGATGTCCTCACATTCTGTAGTCCTGTGTGTCAGATGCCCTCCCTGTCTGTCAGATGCCCTCCCTGTGTGTCAGATTGCATCAGATACCCTCCCACTGCTCTTCCCCACACCTGGACCTTGTGGACCACAGTTGCCTGATGGTAGAATCCGTCTTGTTGATTTCGGGCAAGGACTGGAACTCCAGAGAAAAACTCATCTGGATATGAGTTTTGGAGAGAAGAGAGATGAGAGACAGAAGGAACCACTCTGGACCTGAGACACAGATGAAAATGTGTACTTAAGTAAAAGTAGAATCACATGGCTAAAAATTATATTCAAAGTAGTTAACATTTTTATACAAAACTTTATAAATTAAAACATTTAAGATTAGATAAATACGATTATTGCCATGCTATGAAACATTCTAGACAAAGCAATAACATCTCTGTGGAGACAAGCAGGTGTTGCACTTTTCACAAAAAAAATTTGCATAGTGCAGCTTTAACAGCCCTGATTAAAATAAACTGAAAAAGAAACATATTCTTTGACAGACCTGTTGAGAGGAGATGACGGACAGGAGGTGGGTCTGAGACATGTGACTGGAGAGCAATGTTCTGATTGGTCCTGAGGGAAAAACAGGTTCAGAGAGCTTCGGAGAGAGATTCAAGATTGTATTGTTATTGTCAGAGAAAACAACTAAATTAGTGTGAAGAATCCCTCAGTCGTCCAGGTAGAATCCATGGTGAGGAGAAAATTCAGTTTGTCGACTGGACAAAGTTAGTTTGGTTGAAGTCATTTCGCAGCTCATCCAAGCTGCTTCTTCAGTTCTGGTTAGAATGCTGGTGGACACTTCCTTATATCTGCAGGGAGGAGCTAACTAACTGAAACTAACACACCTACTTGTTTACAGTTTCTGTTTGTTAGTTTGGCCTATTGCCCTGTATCTCATATTTACAACTCCATCCTCAAACCTAAATCTAAACAAACAAGAGAACAATAGGTGTAGCCAGGTCAGATCCAGAGGTGTTGAAGCTCCAGTATGACCCTGAATTGTTATGCTTATTAGACCCCACACCCTGTACATTTCAATAGGCCAAACTAACAAACAGAAACTGTAAACAAGTAGGTGTGTTAGTTTCAATTAGTTAGCTCCTCCCTGTAGATATAAGGAAGTGTTCACCAACATTCTAACCAGAACTGAAGAAGCAGCTTGGATGAGCTGCGAAATGTCTTCAACCAAACTAAGTTTTGTCCAGTCGACAAACTGAATTTTCTCCTCGCCACAACTAAATTAGGTTTAGAGCATCAAACACTATAGTTCTGATGGGACAGGGACATACCGACATGTGGAGTTTTAACTAGTGTTAACACTTTCAGCCCCTGTATGGGATCCAAATCTTTTGGATCTATTCTTTTTTTTTTTAAAGTAACTATTATGATGTCAAATTTTTTTTTGTGTAGAAAGCTCTCACTTCTGTTGCCTGCTCTGCTTCTGTGCTGATTCTCGTGTTGGTTCTGAATTAATCAGTTAAAAAATGCACAAAATGTGAAAGGAAAAAGATTTGGTTCTTTTAAAAAATTTGGTCCAGTTCCAACCATTCACATTAAAGAACGATTCAAAATAGCTGTCTCATACACAAACATCACATTACTAGTTTTAGTGTCAATGCAAAGTCCAGTTCAGTATTACTGTATTGGTGGCTGTGGCTATTGTTCATGAGAGGGGGAAGTTTTATTTGATTTACCTTTGAATACATTGAGTTTTCGCAGCTCCACATGCTTCAGGGTCCTACGGGACAGAGAGTGTGAATAAAGGAATATTAATAAGCTAAAAATCTGATTCAAAACTAAAATGCACTATATGAGCTTCTATTTCTAAACTTTGATTGTCTATTTCGTCGTTTTGCTTGCAATATTCCACAGTATGACATCAAATTTAGCAATCTCCAGGGAGACAAGCAGGTGACTCAACAAATCCAGATAGTTTTTGGCAACAACTGGAAGTAATTGGCAGTAACTGAATGGATGAAAGAAAAAATAAGTTAATGCCATACTGTGGAACATTCAGGCAAAAATAATAACATTTTCATTAGAACAAACAATTTTCCAAAAGTTACAGAGTGCAGCTATAAAGTCTAATGAAATATAATTAAATTACAAGTCAGTTATACAGAGTAAATCTATCTAAATCTAAATCTGATACTTTGATGAAAATTGTGACAAACTTAATGAACTCTAAATACCTTCAGAGCTGGAACACCAAGTCTCTCTGTTAGTACTGTTTCTATGGAGATCAGGACTGTTGACCGTCACTAAGGAGACAACTGTACACTTCCAATCATCCACCAATCAGAGCACGTCTTTCTGAACACTGTTGTTTTGAAGCTGTGTGTGACTGGAGCAGTTGTGTTGAGCCTTATGAGAGAACAGTGCAGTCTTTTGTCCTCTCACTGTGTCTCTGAAGTTGGGTGGTGTAAATCAGATACTAAACAATACTAACTAGTATCAAAACAAGATAACTAATTTAAGCAAGTAACAATACAAATAAATACAAAAATAAATATATAATTACAATAAAAATCAATATTCAAAATTATTATATTTAAAATTTAGTTAAATGTTTAGGTTTCAAATTTTACTTCCTGGTTGAAAGTCTTAACATCACACAAAGGAATTCCATTACTGTTACTTAGCAGACATTTATTGTTGAAATAATGGGTGAGATGTCATCAATATTTACTTTTATGGGAATCAGTTTTTGTTTTGTTTTTTTTAGGCGATGATAGAACATTTGACAACTTATAGCTATTATCACTGTCAACGATCAAATTGTCCACTATGAAGGTTTCCGTAATGCATTAACATGTTTTTGTTTTGCTGTTGGTTTTTTTAGATTTTATAATCTGTATTACGTCATCAAGCTGCGACGGCTGTCTATCAACAACAACAACAGAAGCAGCAGCGGCTAACGTGAAGCTAACGAAAGAGTTGCTCTAAAAACAGCCTAATTTCTGATGATTTCTCTTTTTGGTAAGAATTTAAACATTGTATTTTCCGCTTTTCCTCACGACCTTTAAGATACGGAACATTTGTCATTTTAACACATTCAAACCAGTAAAAATCAATGAAGCCACTAAAGAAGCGCCAAACCTTAAAACTGTAAATCCTGTTTACATTTACATTATTCTAATGTTACATGTTTTTCTAGATCAGATGTGATTTTTTTTAACGCGTCTTTGAGCTGCCATTTGTTTCAGGGCTTGTGACACGTCCCTGGTTTGATTGTTTGGAGGCTAGTTATGTCACACACAGCTAAATGAGACAGACACGAGACTGATGAACTTTCGACCGCGGATCTATGATATGAACTGATCTTAATTATACAGTGAGTAAGACAGTACAGTAGAAACGGTGTCCAGATAACCAACGCTGAAACCTTCTCTACATTGGTGTGTTTTATATTTCTAGAGCTCATTCTGGAGACACTCGCAGTTTACACCTGTTCTGAAAAGCACTGGATGTTATTAAAGGTCTGTTGTTTATTTAGGCTTTTCAGCTTCTTTTGAACTCAAAGTGAATGGTCTTTAAATACACAGGAGCACTTCTGAATTACCACCGTATGATGTTAGAAGGTGGAACAGTGTGTTTTGACCTGTGGGGTCTACTTTATGAAAAGCTTGTGTAGATGATTCTGGTGATGCTCTGTCAAACACAAGTACAGGGACAGGGTTAATCAGTCTAATATGGAAGACTTCCTTTTTTGGTTAGAACAGTTTGTTCAGAAAAATATGACCATTTGTCAGACAAACTTCACTTTTGGGGTAAAGCCATGGGTGTTTTTTCTTCTTCCTGTATTTTGGAAATAAGACAGTTTAATCCCTTGTTCATCTAGGAGTGGTTCAATGTAGAGACTGTCATAGGTCAGGTTTAGAATTGATTTTAAGATTTTATTTATTGCTTCTGTTAGAGCTTTGAGATCAGCAGACCAGATGATTTCATAAGTTCCAGGGCTCTGGCTAAAAACTAGAGGGGACTGGGCTTTTGCTGTAGCTGGTCCCAGTCTCTCGAACAGTCTTACTCTTGGTATTAGAACAGCCCAATCTATATTAAATCTTTGTTGAAAACTCATTTGTATGCACTGGCATTTAACTCAAGCTGAGCAAAAATGTGTACTGTATTGTTTATTGTATTGTAGGTATTGTTTTTATATGTTTAGTTTTATAAGATAGCACTTTATATTGCCTTTGTACAACACTGCAGTTGTTTTTGAATGTGTTTTATAAAAAGACGTGACTTCAGTTGACAGAATCTGGATTTATCCTCCTCTAAGTTTAAGTCCAGCCCCAAAGGGATGAGTTTTAGAGTTAAACTTGTTTACAGCTGACATGGATTGCTATACCCATATTGTCTGTGTCACTTTCAGCATTGAGAACACTTTTGGTTTAGTCCTGGTTTAGTCCTGGTTTAGTCTTAGTTTCATCCTGGTTCAACCCTGTTTCAGACCTGTTTTAGACCTGTCTCATTCCTTGTTTCAGACCTATTTCAGTCCTGGTCCTAGTTTACTGTCTCGTTCAATTCTGGTTCAGTCCTGGATCAGTCCTGGATCAGTCCTGGATCAGTCTTGGATCAGTCCTATATCAGTCCTGGATCAGTCCTGGATCAGCCCTGGTTCAGTTCTGATTCAGTCCGGGTTCAGTCCTGATTCTCTCTGGTTCCTCTCCTTAGGTCTCCCCCTCTCCTGGTCTCTCTGATGGGGCAGGGCCAGGCTGTGGCTCGGTTGCCAGAGAAGCTCCTAAGACACGCAGCTCTGGTGAAAGAGAGTGGATACTTAACCTACGACGAGTTCCTGGCACGAGTCGCCGAACTCAATGATGTGTGAGTGAAGCAGAGGTCGAGAGAAGGAAGAGCACGAGAGGAGAGAGGGCCAGAGGAAGAGAGGAACAGAAGAGGAGAGGGTCAGAGGAAAAGGTCACAGGAGGGTCAGATGGAGGGGTGGATGTAGAGGAGAGGGTCATAGGAGCAAAGGAGAGGGGCAGAGGAGAAGCAGATGATGCAGAATAGGAGCAGATGGTGTAGAAGAGGAGCAAAAAGTGCAGAGGAGGAACAGGGAAAGGGTCAGAAGAGCAGATGGTGCAGAGGAGAGGGTCAGAGGAGCAGAGAAAAGGCTCTAATGGACGATACTAATTGGGCTCAGAAGAGCATGGCTGATCTCTCGCTTTTCTCAGGACTGCGAGATTGGCGGCCGGGCAGCAGAAGCACCTCCTGTTCGAGGTGGAACCGGGGTCAGACGCGTCGGCTCTGTGGAAGGTTGCGGTCAGAGTCGTCTGCACAAAGGTCAGTGCCTCACTGTGGATTGCCACATCCAACAACAAGAAAACTGTAAAGCAAATGGAATTCTGACAACACAACAAAAGTTTGTCCACTCATTCAAGAGGCTTCTTCAGTTAGCTCCTCCCTTGACACATCTAAAGCCCACCACATGTAACAGGATAATTTTTTTTAGGGCCAATTGTAATAAAATGTGGTACTATGGTACCACATTTTACAAATAATAATAACACATTTTTTACTTGCATCTAAATGGAATTATTTGATCTTTTAAAGATTAGTTTCAAAGTGAGTGGTTTTCCACTAGACAGGAAACACGTGACGCAAGGTGCACTCACATTTAGGTTGTGGTGTGAGGTTTCTTCGCAGCCACTCTTCACTCGTACAAACTTTTGATTGCTCCTGCGATGTCAGTATTTGTGACATGATGAATTGTGTGTTTTGTAATGTATATGTTTTGAATAAATTTAATAAAATAATTTGAATGTCCTTAAAGGACATTAATATATTGGTAAGGTGGTTGAAGTGTCTTGCCTAAGGATACAATGTCACTATGTTGTGTTCAGAGTGGGGATCGATCCAGCGATCCCTAATCTGCTCCTCTCCCCTTCTGCTTCTCCCTTCCCCTGACCCTCTCCTCTTCCGCTCCTCTCTTCCTCTGGCCCTCTCTCCTCTGGCCCTCTCTCCTCTGGCCCTCTCTCCTCCTCCTCCTCACATCCTCTTCCTCCTCTCCTCCTTTGCTTCACTCACACACCACTGAGTTCGGTGACTTGTGCCAGGAATTCGTTGTAGGTTAAGTATCCACTCTCTATCACCAGATCCACTGTTGTCTGAATTTAAATACTTTCTGGAGCAGTTTCTATTTATTCTCTGCATTTGGCCCATCCATCAACCAGTGGTGCTGTGGCAACCTGCCTGGAGCATTGATCTGCTGCTGTACTTAAATTAAACTAAAATGTTCTGTGGTAAATGAGTTCGAGACAATATATTTCCAGAATCCATTTCCATTGTCTTCTTCACAGATAAACAAAGAAAGTGGAGCAGTGGAGGCTTCTCGCATCATGAACCTGTACCAGTTCATTCAACTGTATAAAGACATCACGAGTCAGGCTGCAGAGCTGACAGCAGAGAGCGCTACAGAGGGAACATCAGGAGGGGTTCCTAATACAGATTCCTGCCAGGCCTCCATGTGGATGGGAAGGTACATTACACCTCTGTGCTCATGTATGGAGTACAGAGCTTTCACCAAAGCGGCATGTCATCTTAATATAAATACTCAATGGCAGAATAATTAACACACAGGAAGGTCTTATGTGTGGAGTTTGCATGTTCTACCTATGCCTTTGCAGATTCAAAATAGTTCTCTAAACCTCCAGATCTGAGGGTGTTTCACCAAAGCGCCTCCCCCTGCATATCTGTTGGCCGATATATTGATATTTGCAGTTTTTAGCATATCGACTATCAACCCTTATTCTCCGACATGGCACAAAACTACACTGACTACACAACCCTCTTATGGGTTGTGAATAAATTTGTTAATTTTAAATCATTTCATTTGAGGAAAATGATCAAAACCAGTCCAAAAATATTGAGTTTTTCAGCCATCATTTGTTGACATGAATGTTGTTTCTCAGGGTGAAAGAGCTGACCGATGAAGAAGAGTGCTGTATTTGTATGGATGGAAAAGCCGACCTGATCCTGCCCTGTGCCCACATCTTCTGCCAGAAGTGCATAGACAAGTGGTGAGACCATACGCTGTATATCCACACAGTACATAACTGGCCCCCTAGCCAACATGTTCCAAATAGGAAATGAAAATGGGTGCGCTTTTGGCACCATGGACAAATCCAGTTGTCTGTGTAATCCCTCAGTCATCCGGGTAGGATCCATAGCAAAAGATAAGATTTAGTTCTGTTAACTGGACAACAGATATTTTGCTGCTCATCAAAGCTGCTTTTTGAGTTCTGGTCAGCTTGTCAACTGCCTTATATGTGGCTGAAGGGAGGAGCTAACTACACTGAAACTACTCTGAAAATAGCCCACTGACTTTCTGTCTTAGGTTTATTGAACTAACCCTCACTTTTTTGTCTTTTCTTGTCCAGGAGGGGGCAGCAGAGGAACTGTCCAGTCTGTAGGCTGCAGGTGACCGCGGCTAACGAATCCTGGGTGGTGTCGGACTTTCCCTCTGACCAAGAGCTCGCCGGTTATATCCTTGACTTGGCAGACGAGGCCGGGCATCCACACAGACCATAGTACTACTGTCAGAGTACGACTACTACTATATCCAGTAGTACAAATACTACCACACAGGAGTATACAGCCGTAACATTACGACCACTGAAGGGTGCATCCTCAACCTTGCAGACATGACTGAGCATCCACACAGATCATATTTTGGTCCAGGTTTAATCCTGGGTTTAGTCCCTTGGTGTGCTGTGGTCATAATGTTTTGGCTCATAGTTTTATCACTTTAGTCAAATCCAAAACTCAACTCATTTCAATGTTATTTTTATATTTTTAACTCACTGACCAAAAATACTGAATTTACAACCAACATTTGAAGTTCTGTGAAAATCTAAACACTGTAAAGCAGGAGTCTACAACCTGTAGCTTGGGAGCTACCAGTGGCTCTCCACCCCCTTTCAAGTAGCTCGCCAAGGGATTTCTGAATTGCATGTATTGTGCTGAATAACTAAGATTGGATTGATTAAAAGGCTATTACAATTGTAAATGTGTCATTTTGATGACTAACGTGCAATTTGTAAGCGTATAAACATCTAACTGTGCCCCATCTAAGGCTGTGACTCTTAAATTTATTCAGTTTCTTGTGACCGTTAAAATGAGGAGCTTTTTGGCATTTTCATTTTGTAAAAGTAGCTTGCCAGATGAAAAGGGTTGGAGACTCCTGCTGTATAGACTGTAATAACATGTAAAAAAGAGTTTAGCAGATGAAATGGTGTGATCGAGGCATTCTCATTTATATTTTAAGATTTGTGAGATTACATCAGAATTATACTTTTGTTTTCTTATAGTTGTGTCTATGAAGTCTAATGTTGTTAAGTTGTTACAAGACTTTTTCAAATAATTTCAAATGCTGTAGTTGTGTTTTTACATGTGTTTTTATTGCTTGTGATAAACATGCATTCTGACTGAGCAGTGTCACCTCTCCACTGATCTGACCAGTAACTTGTCCTTTTGATATCACCTGCTTGTCTCTATGGAGATAGATAAGGCTAATGCCATACTGTGGAACATTCAAGGCAAGGACAAGCAGCTATAAAGTGATGTTAAATTTTATTCTGTGCACATGGGTCAGATCTACAGTATGGTTTTTAAACGCACTGTACCAGATTTTTTTCCCAGGTGTTTGAGCAAAATGTCTCTTGCTTCAGTACAGATACATTGTAGGCCATAAGCAGCTCTTGAAGTCAAAATAAGGCTTGTTTACTGTCTGCACCTAATTATAAAGCATTTTATTGTCTGAGAATCAGGAACTGCACTTTCAGTGCCATCGTGGTGAATACTTAAAATATTCAGAATGCATAAGGTATGTGAGGAATAACTTTGGACCACTGCAATGAAAATAAAATTAACTAGTTCTGTTTTTCCACATTTTAAGGCAGAAAAAAATCTGGTACAGTGCCTTTAATTAATAATATGCAAAAAAATATATGCATTCAATTACTGTGCAAAATGTAACTACAGCATTTGCATAGTGTTATTGTCCAGTGTATTTGGAGGCTGTGAGATTCAAAGTCATATTATGGGCAGCTCCATTGGTTGTAAATGCATGTGACAGGTTTTCACTTTTTTCTAATTCTGACTTGGTTCGGTGGAATAATACCATATATAAATGGACATAGCTAACCCGCCAGCTGCTGTGTTCCAAATAGGAAGTGTTCATGGGGGATCTATCGACTCCCAATTTCTAATTGACTTTACGACTGTCACCTATCGCTCTAACTGCTGTAGTGAGCTACGTCATTTTGGTCTTAAAATGTTTGTATTAACCTGCTCTGCATAATCCTGGGTTTTTTATTTTTCAATTTTGTTCATTAATAAAATTCTATTTCTAATATGGAGCTTGGCTCCAAATTCGCTCCTGTAACCGCAAGCATCGTGAACTTCATTTGACTGGAGCTGAACACTACTCCCTTAATCTACTTTCTTATATAGTCTATGGATAGTACCTGTGGAAAATAGTTTTCATATCAAATCAGTTTTACATCCGTTAAGTGGCAGTTTGTGTGCACGGAATTACCTCTTAAGTATGTCACATTTGTGTCAAGAAGTAAAATTATAATCTTCACCAAAATTAAAACATTGAATAAATAGAATTATTAAAAATAAGATTTTTAAATTTTTTTTTTTTAACAAAAACAAAGTTTAAATATAATTATATTAACTGTGTTTTAGTGAAATGTGTAGTGTAACCTGTCATATGCACTTGAAACTTGGCTGGACTTCCTTCATTTGACTCTTTCTCCGTTTTGTTCATGTTTTGATGCCTTTAATATCTTACTATTGTAGCTATATTTTAATTTGCTGGAGGTCTGGTGGTTTGATAAGTTTTAGAATAATTCTGGGGTTGAAATAAGTTGCTGACTTTGTGTTTTAAAATATGAAATAAATTGTTTAATTTCCCTTTTGTTTGTGCTGCAGATGATTTAGTACATTATACATTTTATTTAAACTGAATTCAGTTTGGTAACATTTTCCTAAGTGATACTTTGTAGCCTTATGTCATCAACATTCCCAGGGGGTTTGATGCTAACTGAAGCACCGTTCTGTCTGACCATAATGTACTGATTTAGTTGGTGCTACAACAGGTGAGATGATTTGTTCTGTTAACATGTCCCTCTCAAATAACAGTAGTCAAAAGCTAGCAAGCATTAGCCAACAGTCTGAGTCAATCACTTTCACCTTTCTACTTAAAAGTCAAACCCTTAAACAGGACTCATACTGATCACAAGCTCCTGAATTTTCTTGAGTTTTCAGACTTTCTAAAGCTCTTTTTTTTTTTTGTCTGTGTTTGCTAATGTGTGCATTGTGTCAGCATGGTAACTTCTGAACATTCCGCCATAGATATATACAGGTAAAACTCAACAACCCCCTCAAAGTGATGCCATGCAAAGAATCAATATAGGAAAAAGAACCACTTAAGAATGATTCCTTCAAATAATGTAAAATGTATTTATTTATTTTGGACATAAAAAAAAAACTACAAAAAAGTCACAGTTTTGTAAATCTTTATAAATGTGCATAAAAATAAAAGTGTCTCTTCACTCATCAGTTCATGCAAAAGTTCGGTGGCACACATCGTTCAAGTTTAGATTTTTGACAGTTTTTTACTTTAACATAAAAATCAAATCAAACTAAACTAAACTGCATTCTCAAATAGTCCGGTTCCTTATATTAATTTTTTAATCTTAGTTGGAATTTTGGGGGGATTTGCTAAACTATATATTTTTGGAAAGGTTATAGTATATGGAGTCAGAAAATCAATGTTTGTATTTGCCCAGATGTCTATATGGCCGGCATATTGAATTTTTAAAAAATGGCCGCTAAAAAACTCTTTTTGAAATATCTCAGCCTCTGAATAAGTTGAAATGTTGATTATAACTGCTAAAACCACATTTTCAGGATCAGGGAATCAAATGGTGCTAGTTACAAAGCTATAAGACCTACCCACATTAACCCTTAGATGCATAAGTGGGCAAAAAAGCCTAGAAATTCTGTCCATAAATACAATGAACAGAAACTGTGATGGAGAGGCCCTGGGGAGCCCAACATGCACCGGGAACAGGTCTGACTTACTGCCAGCATTGCAAAAACAGCTCTTGCTCTGGTCATACAGGGACCAGACAGCCCTTAGCAAAGGGCCCCGAACCCCATACTCCCAGAGCACCCCCTAAAGGAGACCACAAGGGACACAGTCGAATGCCTTCTCCAGATCCACAAAGCACATGTGGACTGGTTGGGCAAACTCCAATGAACCCTCGAGCGCCTGATGGGGAGCGTAGAGCTGGTCAGTGTTCCACGACCAGGACGAAAACCACGGTCGGATTTTCCTCTCCAGTCCCTGGCACAGACCGGGAAGGCTGAGGAGTGTGATTCCCCTGTAGTTGGAACACACCCTCCGGTCCCCCTTCTTATACAGAGGGACCAACACCCCGGTCTGCCAGTCCAGAGGTACTGTCCCCGACCGCCACGCAATGTTGAAGAGGCGTGTCAGCCAAGACCCACAACATCCAGAGACTTAAGGTACTCAGGATGGATCTCATCCACCCACAGGCTTTATATTATGAATAGGATTTTTTTGACAGACAAAATAGCAAAAAAAAAAGGATCATGTAGAGCAGGTTCATACAAACATTTAAGACCAAAATAGCAAGGCTCACTGCAGCAGGTACAGAGAGAGGAGCCACAAGAACCTAATGTAAGTCCATTGGAGCCAGAGTCAGAAGGAACCGGAAGAGCCTCCTGGAGAACTTCCTATGTGGCACATGGCGGCTACAGTGTTAGATCTGTCCACTCATATATACAGTCTATGGTTGTATGAAAGTGATGATGATAATGATGATGTATAGAAAATGTCTCATAAAAAAAGGTTGCATAATCATATTGTGTCTAAATGTGTGTGTTGACATTCAACATCAAAATTTTATGTTAGCTACTTTTAAACTCTTTAAGTTATCTGACCAACTGCATGTGATGTTTATAATTAGTTTTACCCATATTGTTGATGTATTTCAACAGGATAATAAAAAAATATGTTTTTGGAGGAACATGGAGTATTACATGCAAATATTACAATGTAATTGCAAGAAAACAACCAAACTGGGTCATTTTTTTGACCCACTTATGCATCTAAGGGTTAATGTGGGTAGGTTTTATAGCTTTGTAACTAGCACCGTTTGATTCTATGACCCTGAAAATGTGGGTTTAGCAGTTAAAATCAACATTTCATCTTATTCAGAGGCTGAGATATTCCAAAGAGTTTTCTGGCAGCCATTTTTTAAAAATTCAATATGGCCGCCATATAGACATTTGGGCAAATGCAAACATTGATTTTCTAACTCCATATACAATAACCTTTCCAAAAATATATAGTTTAGCAAATCCCCCAAAAATTCCCACTAAAGTATATAAGGAACCGGACTAAAAAGGAAATGTTCAACTTAAATAATAAAGTTTATAAAACAATCAAACCAAAGTAAACCAGGAGACAGGTCCAAACCAGGACTAAACCAGGACTGAATCAGGATTAAACCCGGTCTGAACATGGACTAAACCAGGACTAACCCAAGACTAATCAAGGAGCAAATCACATCTCAGCCAGGTTTGGACCAGGTCTAAACCAGGCCTAAGCCAGGTTTAAACCAGGACTCAATCAAGTCTAAACCAGCTCTAAATGAGACCTAAATCAGGTCTAAAACAGGTCCTTTTCACTGTGAGGGGGGTGGACTGGACTCACTCTTTACCGCCCCCACCAGGAAACTGAGCTCATTGCACAGGGTCTCGTAGCGGTAGGCCATCCGGATTTGGGGGACATTGGTCCTACGGATGTCGTTTCCCTCAGGACCATCCTGGAGGTAGTTGGGCCCCAGAAAGTGCTTCTTCTCCTGGATATGAGGAAAGGGGGCCGGGGGTCAGGTGGAGTAGACAACAGCATTTAGAATAAAGGTGACTTTTAGGGTCCATAAATTATTGTAGTAGTAGTAGTAGTAGTAGTAGTAGTAGTAGTACCTGATGAGACAGTCCGCTCTGTATCACACTGTTACGGGCAATCTCACACAGGTCACAGGTGCTGAGTTTCCAGAGCTGGGCAGCGATGGCGTACTCCTCCATCAGAGGCTCCTAAGACATAACAACAATAAACACAACGAATGTGTATAAGTGTGTGTGCGTGAGAGAGAGACAGAGAGAGGGTAACTTCAGAAGAACACATGAAATGTTTGGTCAGAGGTCATCCACAAACAGGCTGGCCCCTCACCCTTGACCTTCTGACCCCTACTGCATCATCTCTTGGTTTAAATAACTTAAATTATTGTTTGGAACTGTATGAAAAGCTGAGAGCTATATGTACAAGAGTTGTACATAAATAAGATGAATAAAGTGTTTCATAACACATATACCAGCTAAGCAGTATATACAGTACTATAGTATCTTGGTGGAACTACAAAGGATCCAGAGACACACATTTCTTGTGTTCATACTTGTGTTTATGTGGGAGTAAGTGGGGTTATGACAGAAGCGGTAGTATTTATTCAAAGTACCTTGGTGTAGTGGAACTGCATGGGGTCGTCCGTGGACAGAGACACACACAGGCCTTTCTGTAGAAACTCTCTCAGAGGATTTTTATTGTACTGAAGGAACAGACTGTTGTTGCTCAGAGGAGACATGGCGATGGGCACCTGTCCCAGGTAGTACAAGTACTGCAGTACAGGGCTCTGTAAAGTACACAAATACACACTGGTAGTACAATGGACTGCAGTAAGGGACTCTATAATGTACACAGAGGACAATGTTACTGCAGTAGTGAACTGGCTGTGTTTAGATTCTCTGTCCTCTGTGAATGAAGTTACTCAGGAGATAAAGTTCATGAGAGATGAAGCTCATGAGAGTTTATACACATGCACATTTCTGCTCTATAGGTTTATGAGTATGCAAGTATTGATATTTTGCAGCTGTGATCACCATTCCCTGGGGTTGTGAAACTAACTAGAGGAACTGCAGTTTGAGGCTCTGTTACCAAGTTAAACTTTAATCTAAGCTTAAGTTTTAAGAGTTAGACTTAGTTGGAACTACAACGTGTGAGCTTATTTTTGCTGTTAAACTAGCCCCTCTAGCTAGCATTAGCAAACAGTTATTCTCACCTTTTTATTGAAAATCAAACACCTAAACAGGATCATGAATGCTCGCCATATATATAGAATCCCTCCCCAGTGTAATGTCACTGCAAAGTATTAATATGTAATAATTATATTACATGTTTTACCTTCTTGAGGTTTAGCCCGTGTGAGATATTATCAGCTGTGAGGAATGCTGACACCAGGTGAGTGATGGAGCCAGCCTCTCCACAGTGAGGTCTGAACAAGAACGTGTTCAGACCACGCTCCCTGAAATATACAAATATAAGGTCAATATACATATTGTAAACTCAAAATACACCACAGTAGCATTTGTAGTATTAGTATTAGTATTACTATAAGTATTAGTATTAGTAGCAGTAGCAGTAGCAGTACTCACTTGCGGAGGTTGTTGAGCACCATGATGTTGGCATACATGTAGAACAGGTAGTATGTGTATGGAGGATTGTCGTCACCATTCCACTCCTCGGGTTTGGGACTTTTATAAGAAAAAAGATGATCGCTGTGTTTGGACTCATCATCTACACTGTCAAATCCTGTGACCTAGAAGAGGAGGAACAGGGAGTGAAAGGAGGAGAGGAAGAGAAGTGTGAGAGCCGAGGAGCAGAGAATATGGGAGGATGGAGAGGAGAGGGTCAGGGGAGCAGAGGGTGCAGAGGATGAGCAGATGATGTGGAGGATGTCTTACATATTTGAGGAAGATGTAGAGGTTCTTGTTTTCTGAGGATTGACTGTTGCTTCAAACAGAGGCAGAAAGATGTTCTCCAACATTTTAGCAAAGTTTGGGATCAGCTTCTTGGACCTGAAGATGTCACTGAAACAGGAACAGATTTGAGTTCAGCACTGAAAAAGTCTTCATGTTTCATTTATTCACACGGGGAAGACTGATGGGGGCATGGCTATAAGTCTGCACCACCAGTCTTGCCCCAGGACATTGGTCGGATGTGGAACTGAACTACTGACACTTGGGTTGATGGGCAAAGGTTTTCCCTAAAGTGCTCCTAAACTAATGGCATCTGACCCATCCTTCAGTCTCTGGGTTAAACCTGCATTTGACCTATCCTTTAGTGTCTCTGGTTAAAGCTGTTAGAAGCAGTGGACCAGATCTGAGCCAGGATCCTGGTACTTAGCTGGAGGATTAGTGTGCATGTTTTAGGTTGAGGAAGGAAATCCACCAAGTTCTAGTAGTAGTAGTAGTAAAATAACTAGTAGTAGTAGTCATAGCAGTGGTAGTGTTTTTTAAAATCACTGGGTTACTCTGAGATCATTAAAAAAGTAGTAGTGACAGCAGTAGTAGTAGTAGCAGTACTCATAGTAGCAGTAAAAATACCAATAGTAGCAGTATTAGTAGAAATAGCAGTAGTAGAGACAATAGTACTAGTTGTAGCAGCTGAAGTAGTGGCAGTATCAGTAGTAGTAACAGTAACAAGAGAGGTAGTACCAATATTAGCAGCAGTAGTAGTAATAGTAGTGTAATAGTACTCACTAAATACGAGGTATCTGAATCATCCACCTCATATTAGGCGAGTGGACTTTATGTTGTATAAACCAGGTGGACAGACTGATCCACTCTTTTGGCGAGCGGCCGTACACCGAGAGGCGGGGCTCGGAGTGCTGGTACTTACTCTCCTCCAGCTCCTGCGCCACCTCCTGGACACACACAAACATTACACTTTAGATTAGAAATACAAAATCTCCAAAAGTCAAATACACATTTTTTTTTTCCCCTGATAATTTCTAGCAGTGACAAGGTCCATTTCTCCTGTTATATTTCTCCAACCACACCACAACATACAGGAGGGGATCTGACACACCACAACATCTGCAGATTAATTAAAGACATTTGACCTGCCCCCATCTCAGTCTAACACTACAAGAATAGAGTAGGATGGGAGGGCATCTGACACACAGTAGTTTAAAAAGTTAAATTCAAAAGTGGAAGGAGGGATTTTGGTGTGAAGTAAAATTTTAAAAGTGAAAAACAAAAACAAAAAAAAACAAAACAGGAAGACAAGACATGGCCACAAAAACAGGAAGTACCATAAAGATAAAAAAGGAAGTACAGTATCAGCTCTCTGTACCCACCACTGAACAAGGCATTTGTACAAAATTTAGCTATAATCCTTATAATGTTGAAATATAATATAATGAAATACACTTGGAAGAATAGACTAAAACAGGACAAAACCAGGACAATGCCCCATTACCTTGATGAGTCTGGCGAAATACTCCCCATTGATGTAGTTGTCCGTTTTCAGGTAGATTTCCCTGAGTTCTGATGCTCCAACTGGATTGTACTTTGAGTTAAACTTATCAAAGCGATGGAACGTCTGCCGGCCCTGAAACCAGACCAGAATCGGCTCTAAACAAGAGCACAGCCAGAACTAAACCAGGACTAAACAAGAACTTGTAAATAAGCCACAGCTAACTGAGCCAGGACTAAAACAGGACTAGATCAGGACTAAACTTAAGAAGACTAAATTTACATATGATTGTACTTTAAAGAACTGTGCTTTTACAATATTCACAACTGAACCTGGGTTGCCAGTATCTAAACCTGCAGATAGAGGACACATCCAGGTTTTTCTCATTCTCAGTATATGGACAGGTCATGCCTCATGTGAAGGCTCAGAACCTCCAGAATTCCCTCCCTGAGCTGCAGAGGCTGCACTAGCACTGACTCATGACTAGTACAGGTGCTGGGGTTTAGGTAGTGACTGTTCAGATCAGAAAGAGGCATTTTATGTTTAAACCAGCAATCCAAATGAGAAACTCATGTGAGGCTCATTATGCTCTCTCACTGGATAATTGATCAAAAACATCTAATTATATCATAAATAAATGGGACATCATATTTTGTAATCAAGCATAATTCAGCATTAAAACAATTATCAGTAAAAGTTATATTTGATTTGAACATTTCTACTTCCCATCTGATATCTGAGGACAAGTTTATGAAATATAATATGAAAATCTTATATACAGTCCCTTTAAGAGTAAAATGTACCTCTACCATTACTACAATTTCTACAACTCCTACTAACTAGGCCCACAGCAGGTCTCACTCACCGCATGCACGTCAAGAGAGTCCACTGTGAGGTCATATGGGTCCATGCCCAGTTTGTCAAAGACCTCCTTCAGGGTGAGGGTCCGACCGCCCTGCTCCAGAACCTCACGATCCGCCTCCGTTTGGTACGATGTCTTTATGAACTTCAACAGGTGCTTCTGGTTCATACAGGCCGCAGCATGAATGTGAGTATCCACCTGAGAAGAACCAAGAACCAGGACTGTACCAGGTCTAAACTAGGACTGCACAGAGATAAATTATTTATGTAAGTGTGCGTGTGTGTGCGTGCGTGTGTGTGTGTGCGTGTGTGTGTGTGCGTGTGCATGTTGTACCTTCCTGACATTGTAGAAGTCTCTGTGTGCAACACATTTGAGCTCCTTCAGTTCAGGCATTTCATTCAGCATCTCATGAAGGTAGAACTTAGAAGACAAGAAGTTCAACCGTCTGTGGCAATAGGTTTTACTGAAGAGAAGAGAGAGAAATAGGGTCTGAAACTGGACTAAACCAGGATTTTGAACCAGGACTAATCCAGAACTAAACCTGGTCAGGACTTGATCTGTACCAGGTCTAAACCAGGTCTGGTCTCTGGTCTAGACTCACGTGGGTCCATCTGCGATCATGGCAAGCACGTGGCTAAGATCGAAGGCGAATGTCTCAAGGTCGGGGTAGGGCAAACTGCGAGGCTTCTGTTTTTCCACATCCTCAGAGCGCTCATAGACATGGATTATCCCATCTCTCATCTGCAGAAAGTAGTTCAGGTCCTCAGGAATCCCTTCAGTGGAGTATGGATCCTGTCCCTCCGACGGACATGGGCAGATGTCTGAGGACCAGAGCAACAATCAAATGCCCTTCCATGTGTCAGATGCCCTTCCATCCTCCTGTATCCCTGTGTGTCAGACTAAAGTAGAACTAAACCAGGACAAAGTCTAGTCTGAACCAGAACTAAACCAGGTCTGAAATATGACTAAAACAGGACTAAACCAGGGTATAACCAGGGCTAAACCAGACTAAACCAAGACAAAACTAGGACTCAGATGCCCTCCCATTCTCCTATATCCCTGTGTGTGGTCAGTACCTGGTAGCACCTCCTGGTCTTGGGTCCAGGTTCGGTTTTGGGATTCTCTGAGATACCGGGCGGTGGTTCTGGGGAAGCGGTGATAGGCCAGTCTGGAATACTTCTCTCGGATGATCAGAGCAGTCAGCAGACTCTGAGCCGCCTGCTCGTAATCCTCCACTGTGATCTAGAACACAATAAGAATTTTAAGAACCAGGGCTGTACTTGTCCTGGTTTAGTCCTGGTTCAGTCCTAGTTTAGTCCCAATATAGTCCTTGTTTAGTCCTCATTTAGACCTCGTGTTTTAGACCTGGTTCAGTCCTGGTTCAGTCCTGGTTCAGTCCTGGTTTACCCCAGCGCAGTAGTCTCCACTGATGGTGACTCTCTGGAACTCAGGCACTTTGAGACTAGGAGGGGGCTCTGGGGTCAGGGGCGGGAGCGGACTTAGACCTGGACTTAGACTTCCACCAAGACCAGGACTAACCCAGTCTGGGATGTGCAGAGACAAAGACTGAGAGCGCCGCAGCATCAGGGACTTTTTTCTACAGAGGATAAAAATGCACAGAACAGTGAGACGATGAGGTAATAAAAGAAAAAGATGCTTTGTGCATTTGTGGAGGAAGATGTCTGTGCTTTTATTTCAAATGGATTTAAGCAAAGTTTGATTTATTTACTTCTTCTGTTGTGATACTTCCACCAATGAGACTGGAATATTTGTTTGAAAGGTCTCATTTCAATGAGAGCCATCCCAGATTGGTAATGTGTAGAACTCAGTTTAGAGCGACACATAGCAGTCTGGGATGAGCGAGACTCACAGAATTCACAACTTTTGGGTCTCTTACTTTGTGTCTGGTCTGTACTTTGTGGTAGAGTGGTTAGCTTTTAGCAGGGTGGTTAGCCTTACTTCTTGGCAGACTGGTCGGCCTGCTGCTCCAGCTCCCTCTGTAGAGTCCTCTGGAGGTCCTCGTGGACTTCAATGGGACAGTCTTCGTGGACAGTGAACAGAGCTATGGCTCCTCTCTGGTCCTGGTCTTTCAGAGCAGAGGCATAAACCTGCTCAGCCAAAACCCGTACACGCTCATCCACTTCAGACATGCTCTGCCGGGGGAACTGCCGACGCATCTCTGAAAGATCAGAAACAAGACCAAAGACCGGGTTTAGACTGGGGTTAGACCAGAACAGAGACCGGACCAGACACTGGACCAGGGTAAGGCATGCTTTGCCCGGGCAATTGACCATACATCTCTGAAAGACCAGAAACAAAACCAAAGACCAGGTCTAGACTGGTTTTAGACCAGACCAGGGGTCCAACCAAAGACCAGAGGAAAGCATGCTTTGCCAGGGGAACTGTATATAAATCTCTGAAAGACCAGAAACAAGACTAGGGTATAGACCAGAGCATTGACTGGACGAGTGACCAGGGATAAACCAGGGATAGGCTAGGGATAGGCCAGGGTTAGACATGCTCTGAGACAGGAACTGTCACTGCATCTCTGAGAAAGCAGCTAAATTAAGATACATTTTATTGTCCCTGTAGGAACTGTGAACTCATTCCTCAATGTTTCTGAAGGATGGGTCAAATGCAAGTTTTACCCAGAGAGCTGTTAAACCCGTCAGAAGCAGCGGGACCCATCTCCAGATCTTAAGTTAGTCTTGGCCAGGACTACCTTAAATGGAGGATTTTACCTATTGTTCATGCTTTGGATTGATAGAGAATGGAAACCCACCCAGACACAGGAAGATTATGCAAAGACCACACAGAAAGGCCTGGGAATCAAACCAGGGACCTTCTTGTTGTGGGATGAAAGTGCTACAGTTTAGACCTCATTTGGACCTGGTTTAGAACTTGCTATGATCTGGTTCAGACCTGGTTTAGTCCTGGTTCAGTGGTAGTTAATCCAGATTTAGTCTTGGTGGTTTAGACCTGGTTTAGTCCTGGTTCAGTCCTGGTTCAGTCCTAGTTCAGTCCCGTTTCAGTCCCGTTTCAGTCTCTGGTTCAGTCCCTGATTCAGGTGTGTGTCAACAGATTTGTTTACAGTAAACAACGACATCATTGTATCACATGACCTCTGCTCCCTCCATGTGAACTCTAACCTCACATGCCTGACACCATGATGACAGAGTGACATGTGACCTTTGACCTCCCCTCACAGGATACTGCAGAAGTGAAAACAGTCCATGGAGGTTTGTGTCGTGTGTAAATATGAGCAGCTCTAAGGGGCACTACAAGGGAAACACACCGTCTATGGGTTTCAGACATCACTGCATTCTATACTAGGAATATGAAAAAATATCAAAATATCAATATACTGTATGTCTCTGTATGTCTCTCTCTCTCTCTCTCTCTCTCTCTCACTGCATGTTTGTCTTAAATGTTTTTTAAAGTGGTCCTTGCATTCTTCCCATGAACTCTCTCACACACACATTTCAGAGGAATGCATATTTTGGACTATTTTACTCTGAGCTCTGTGAGAATAAAACCAGGGCATGTTGTTTTTCTTTCAGATTTAATTTAACATTTCATAGTATGTTCCTTCTCCACAGCCCCTCTCCCACAGATGTGTTCTCTGCATGTTGACTTTATTCAATGTCTGCCCTAGGGCTATCATTCAGAAGTTACCGATACGATGCATACACAGGCCACGATACAATATATATCTTGATACATAGGCCAAGATATGATACATATCTCGATACAGTGAGCTTATGATTCAATACAATATATCTGAAATCCATTCGATATGGCTCAATAAAAAATACAGTGAAAATGTCAAATGTGTTGCATAAACGAGTTTCCTTCTGAACAATCAAGAAAACTTTAGCACTGTAACAAAATAATGTTGTAAAATATACCAAAAAATATTCTTGGTGATATATTGATATAGCAGCCCACGATATCGATACTGCATCATCACACTTTTGCACACCCCTAGTCTACTCAGGGCCTCTGTCACTATAAAAGATATATTTAAAGAGATGTTTGAGTTATCTAGCAATCTCTCCTGAGCCCTATTTGAACCCACCTTACGGTTAGCTGTAAAATTATTCTGATTATATCAAGATTATATTAACATTATTCTGTACCAGACTGCGCCCACAGGCCTTCATCATTTCCTCTGAAGAGGGAGGGACTTAATAGTAAGAGCAACTTTAGGTATGTGTTTTGATTGGGTAACAACATTTAAATTCATGGCTTAAAGCTTACAAGAGCCCATTTTGAGTAATATAGGACCTTTAAAGTTAATACAAGTTAATTTTATAGAACATTGTCTCTTTAAATCCACATGTTTCATTCAGTCTTTGATCTTGTCCTGATCGGGTCCAACCATCACGTCACCAGAGCCTCACAAACAGCTGAGAGTCTGGCTCAGATCCAGGACTGAACCCAGATTTAAACCCAATCAGGATCAGGTCTGGAGCTGAATTTAGACCAGACTTCACACCAGAGTCCTGCCAAGTCCGGGTCTAGTCTCCACCAGGTCGGGACTGAGAGCTCCATCAACAACAACATGAACAGCTATAGGAACATTTAGAACTGTATCATATGGACTGTATATGTGTCAGTGCAGGTTTTAATGAGGTCACTAAATAGCTAAAGAACAATTTAACTGACTGCATTTTTAAAATACATTTACTGCTTAAATTTGCAATATTTTAAAATGGAATCCGCATATGGCTTAAAAGTCAATATGCAATCTTTTTTCTTAATTATTATTATTACTATTATTATTACTATTATTATTACTATTACTATTACTATTACTATTACTATTATTATTATTATTATTATTATTATTATTATTATTATTATTATTATTATTACTAGTAGTAGTAGTAGTAGTAGTATTTAGTAGTAGTAGTAATATTTATTTTTTATTATTTTTGAGGGTCTCTGAAGGCAGTGAAAAGTCCTTATAAACACATCGTGGTAAATAATTAGGATGCTCAAAATGCATAAGGTAAATGATGAATAACTTTGGGCCACTGCAAACCATCACATTTTTATGACCATAAATCTGTACAGAGATTTGTTGCTGTATTTTATTTAAAAAGTATCTGATGCACAGGGAGTGCATCTGACTCAGAGGACTCCTGGTGTTAGTTTGACAGAATCTGTTTATTTACTGTTGACAGAAATGGGAGCCCAGATTGGACTGGAGCCCAGACTAAAGCTGATCTTTGAAGGTCTCTGTGACTTCAGGGTCAGACCGGGTATAAACCTGCACCGAGGACTAATGAAGGACTAAATATAAACCTGACAACTCACATACAGGAATCAGGGATTATATTAGGATTAACACAAATCTAAACCAGGACTGGACATTTTAACATAAGACCTGTGTCCAAAACCAGTTTAAAATAGGTATAAACAACAAACAAATGAAACCAGGACTGACTTAGGACTGAACCAAGACAAAACCAGGCCTAAACCCAGAAATTAGGGCTAAACCAGGACTAAACCAGCGTTAAACCAGGGCTAAACCAGGGCTAAATTTGGATTAAACAAGGCCAACCTTGGGTCAAAAACAGGGTGCACACCAGAGTCAAACCAAGACTAAACCAGGATGAAACCACCACTACATCAGGGCTAAACCTGTACAACACAAGGCTAAATTTGAGTCGAAAACAGGGTCTAAACCAGGATTAAATCAAGTCTGAACCTTCCCATTGGTCCTACTGGTCATTATGCCAGAATAGGACAGTGACAGTTTTCCACACCTCTTGTTTACTGCTGTCTGTGCACCCAGAGTGCACGAAGAGCTGGGTGTGCACGAGTCAGTAAGAGTGCACGTGGACTGTGTGAACTTGCGGACACTTGTGGAGTATTTGAAACTTGTGAGAACAGCTGAGTCTGACCTGAATCTGAGAAAGACCAACTGTGAACCAGGACTGAACCCGGACTGAACTAAAAACTAAATCATTACTGAACCAGCACTAACTCAGAACTCAGAACTAAACCAAGACTAAATCAGGTCTAAAACAGGACTGAACCAGGACTAAACCACTCAGCCAGATCTTTGGTTTGATTCTTGGGCCATTTCTTGCCTGTGTGGAGTTAGCATTTTCTCCCTGTGCCTGGGTGAGTTTACAATTTCAGTACATCCCAATCTTCACCAAGATCTGGGGAGGGGCCCAGTGTGTTTCTACAGTCCTATAGATGTACTGAGATGTTTGTGTCTGAAGTGGAGGCTGTTCTTAAAGTCATCTAAGCATCTAAGAGTAAATATTTAAATACATTCTTTCTCTCTGTTTGAGTTCAGTCTCATAGTTTATGTGTCGGCCATGTTGTTTATAGAGTCAGGAAGCACTTTTATGAGAAGTCATTTGGAGAAGAAATCTCAGCCCAGGAACCCCACTGACAACCTCCTCACACACCCAGTGCCAAACACACACACGCACGCACGAACGCGCGCACACACACACACACACACACACACACACACATACATATATATATATATATATACACATATATATACATATACATATATATACATATACACATACATATATACATATATATATACATATATATACACATATACATATATATACATATATATATATATATATATATACATATATATACATATATATACATATATATATATACACATATATATACACATATATATATACATATATATATATATATATATATATATATATGTGTGTATATGTATATGTATGTATGTATGTGTGTGTGTGTGTGTGTGACCACCACCACCACACACACACACACACACACCCTGAGCCCCCCTCATGCACACACACCCATCTGAAGACTGTCCCCTGGTAGCTCCAGCATCTGAGACATGTCAAATATGTAAGACATGAGGAACCGGAGACATATGAAGAGTCTGCCCCAGAAACTACAACAACAACAACAACGCAACTTCCAGATCTGAGCCAGCATCCTGGTCCGGATCTGCCCCCTGCTCTCAGTCCAGATGTATACTTGTCATAATTACACTTAAAGCTCTGATGTGATGAACTTGGTCTCTTATGAATGAATGAATCATCTATGTCTCCTCCAAGCACACAAGTTTCCTCAATTAACCCAAAACATGCACAATATGTTAATTCCTCCAGCTAAGATAGTCCTGATCAAGACTATCTCTAGATCTGGAGAGGAGTCTCACTGCTCCTGACAGGTTTAACCCAGACACACTGAAGGATGGGTCAAATGCAGAGGACACACAGGAACAATTAAGGCTCTATTATAATTAGGACAGACTCTTCCATTCCCCCAGAGCTTCAGACCTGACTCCGAAACCCACACTCTGAGCTTCTTCACCTGTTCCTCTGCTCGTCTGAGGGCTCTGGGCCTGCACTAGGTCAGGGTTATCTTTATCTTTATTTGTTATCTTTCTTTCTCCTCTTGTCCTCTCCTTTTCTTCATCTCTCTTCTTCTCCTCTGTCCTCCACACACAGAGTCTTACCTTCAGAGTTCTGGTCCATGGTCAAGTCCAGAGCAGCTTCTATCTCTCTTTTTTATGTTAAACTTCTTATCTTTCCTTCTATTTAAATCTTTATCTCCTGCTATTACAGACTGTCTTTATCTGTCCTCACTGAAGTCACTCACTCTGCTGCTGACAGTGAACACCGGAGCATAAACCTGTCTCTCTCTCTCTTTCCTACAGTGACTCTGGAGCTGTGGTCTCCTCCTTCTAAAGTCTCTCTCTTCCTCCTTCAGTGTGTTGCCCTCCTCCCCCCTCCGTTTGTTGCCCTCTTTCTCCCTCTCTCCCCCTTCAGTGCATTGCTCATGAGCAGTGCCGCAGCTGCCTAACAGGAGCAGCTCTATTTAAAGATACAAAGGTGGAAACTCTGTGTCACCTCCTCATAAATAACACCTCACCCATCCTCCAGTGAGGTTCGACCCAGAGACACTTTAGGAAGGGTCAAATGCAGGTGGGTCAAATGCAAGTCTAACCCAGACACAGAAGGATGGGTTAAATGCAGAGGATACATTTTCAAGGTATTAAACTTGTGCACAATCTCTGTCCAGAAGATTAAATTTTTTATTATTATAATGTTAAATCCAAAAAGTGAACCTTGTGTGTTTAAAAGCCCTGTTTGCAAATGAGCTTTGGCTATAAATATTGTAGTATGTTAAATGTTTAAAGGACAGATTTAAAATAAAATAAAACCAAACTAATTCAAATTAAAAATTTATTTGGATTTAATTCAACAAAAACAAAATAAAATCATAAGTTTAGCTCCAAATATGAAGTGAGCGTTTAAATCCAATATTGGTTTAATTATAATTCAATTCAACAATTCAAACATTTTAAATGTTATGTTTTGTTTTTGTCTTGGTTGTTATTATTTACTGACTGCTCAGAAACAACACACACTGTAACGGCCTGTAGGGGGCGCTCTTCTGTGTTTGAGTCATACCGTTCTCAAAGCAGGCAGTCGTGGTCATCTGTTTACGGAGCGGAGCATCTCTGCGACTCATTTTCACCTGAAAAACACAGAGAGATCAGAAGTCAAACTCAACCTCTGGAAAACCACTTGGTCACTGTCACAAGGGAGTCAAACTCTTACTAGGGGTGTGCAAAAATATCAAAATATCAATACAGCATATAATTTAATGTGATCATACAGTATGGATATCGGGCGCTGTTGTATCAATATGTCGCCAAGAGTATTTTGGTATATTTTGCTAAATGATTTTGTTACAGCGCTACAGTTTTGTTGTTTGTAATGAGGAAGGAAACTTTTTTATGCAACACATTTGACATTTTCACCATTTTGATGACTAAAATGGGTGTGTTTCATATAAACTTTACACAAGAGATCATTTAATAAAGACTTTTAATATCACAGCCATGATTTAGTCTTTATTTCTATTGAACTGTATTGAATTGATTTGAAATGTATTGTATCGAATCGAAAGTGCACTGTATCAAGGTATATATCGCATTGTATTCTGTTTATTGAGATATGTATCATATCAGCAACTTCTTAATGATACCTAGCCCTACTCCTTACTGAGAGGAGACAGAACTCTACCACAGTATCACAGAGAGGTCACGCACACTCCACTCAGAGACATCAGCAGTCTAACCCACAACCTTGTTACTAAGAGGAGTCCATATAAGGGCACAAAGAGAGGACAGGAAGCACTTGAACCACAAAAGACCAAAAAAAGGAACTGTCTGTGGATAGATTCAGAAAAAAGAGAAGGAGATATAGATTAAATTGGAGATGGAGAGAGAGAGGGGAGAGAAAAAAAAGAGAGCAGGAGGAGGAAAAAGGGGGGGTACGAGGGGAATGAGAAAAAGAGAGAGGTATGGGTGAAGAGCGGGGGTAACGGGGGAGAGCAGGAGAGGAATATTCGCCCATGTCTGACAGGTCTCAACAAAGTCTGAGTCTAACAGAGCAGTACCAGGCAGGTACACATAGTTTTGTGGCTCAATACCAAAAGGATACATACATACATACATACATACATACATACATACATACATGTATGTATGTATGTATGTATGTATGTATATATATATGTGTATGTGTGTGTATATGTGTATATATAATATATGTGTGTATGTATATATATATATATATATATATATATATATATATGTGTGTGTGTGTGTGTGTATATATATATATATATATATATATATATATATATATATATGTATATATATATATATATATATATATATATATATATATATATATATATATATATATATATATATATATATATATCTCCATTCATAGATCCATAATATGCAGTCTATGTTTCTGATATATTTTTTCTTGTTCATATGAGTATAGTTTCAATATTAGTTATGGATTTGACATAAACAAACAATTTTCACAGTGACCAGAGGAACCAGTCAGACCAGGTCTAATCTTCAGACCTGAGACGCAACTCCTTCTATAAAAGACACAGACATTTAAGCATTACGTTTTAGGGCGTACTTTTTTTACGAGCATAGTCAACGCTAGTCTGCACTGGTCTTTTTAAGCTTGTATATCTTGTATTAATTTAATGAGAGGTGTTTTAATTGCTAAAATGATGCATGTTTCTTACTATGAATAGACAGTCAGACACATAGACTTCAGACAACTAAAAACATGACATTTAATTTTGTGAAACTATTTTTATTCAGTTTTGACCAAAAATAATAGCATGTTACTAAAAGGTCTAATATTACGCAAAATTAACTCTTGTGGGCTTTAAGGCATGTTATAATGTTGTTACCTCCTCAAAAACATACCCGGAATTGAGTTTTGTTTCATTCACACATGGCTGAGTAATCCCTTATTAGTTTGTCTACATTTTCAAAGCTAAAAATGATCTGTTCCACCTTGTGATGTCATGGAGTAGTAGTTTTCAAGGTAACAACTCCCTATACCTTTAGTTCAGTAAAGACTGACAATTTCAGGGCTGAAATTATCCAAATGGTTCTAGTGAAAGTGTAAGCAGTTTAAAAACACAGTCGAGCACTTGCTGTATTACCACATGACATCCGACAAAGTGGAACAGAGTGTTTTTTGTCTGAGAGAAGAACTCAGTCTGAATATGGAAGGTTTGTGAATTAAGCATGTGTGAAGGAAACAAAACAGGTACTCCAGGTATGTTTGTGATGACAAAACAACATTATAACATAGATCAGAAAATAGCGTCATATGGGCACTTTAAAGGAATGAGACTAAAACTACATTAAAATTCATTGTCACGATTAGGATACATTTCTGTTTGATCCTTTCATAATACTTGTGTAATGGTCTTGTTCTTGAGTGTTCAGAGTTACATAATTTCAGTCAAACACAGACACGCCCTCCTTCTGTGCCTGCACACACCCTTAAATGTACAATGTTAAACTGTTCACAATAACACAGTGTATGTTATTGCTCCGGTATTTCCCTGAGCATCCAGTCCCTTTTACAACATCTTTGTAAAGTTTAGGCAAAGCATGTGTTTCTGGCTGGACAGCAAGTATACTATCCAAATGAAACAGTCAAAGAGTCTGTGATAAGGTAGGTAGGTGTTTAAAAAAAAAAAAAGCATATTATATATATATATATATATATATATATATATATATATATACACACACATTGAAATAGAAATGCAAATCATAAAAACATGAGAAAAGTACATTTGGAAAGAGTTTTACTTCTAAATTCCTAGTTCCTATTTAGGACTTGGTATGGACACTGTGGACTCTTATCTGTTATCTGGACCCTCTTTAGACCTGGGTCTAATAATAGAATCAATGGACTAAATCAGGTTTAAACTGGGTCTGAACCAGAACTAAACCAGGACTAAACCAGGACTAAAAGATCTACCTGCACCAACCAAGGATTGACCCATGAAAAGGACAGGACACCACTAAGAACTAAACCAGGTCAAAGTTTACCTGCAGCATCATGCAAAGTTTGAGTAACAAAGTTTAAAAAGTCGCTCACCGTTTGAAGGTAAGGCTAAACTCCAGAAACAGGACAGAACTGGAACTTAAACAGGACTAAAACAGGACTAAACCAGGTCTAAACCAGGGCTTAGCTGATGTAGAGTCTGCAGAGTTTGAGGAAGTGCGGGACAGTTAGGACACGAGCGGCCCCCCGCCCCTCATTTGCATATCTAACGTAAACTGAAAGTGACGTCATGAGAGTTATCAGATCAAAATAATGACACGTGCCCTGAAAGAAAAAAAAAAAAAAAAAAAAAAATCTGATTAGATTTTTTTTTTTTTTTTTTTTACTTTATTCCCAGGGCGCATCCTATTTATCCTTTATCCAGAGTGATGTCATCTCTTCTCTACCCAGGTCCTCTGCTGCGTCCTTCTTGCTCAGTGGCACCGCTCCCCTCACGTACACCTGTCATCAAACTACAGACCCCGCCCCCAATTTGCATAAACATCCGATTAAACTAAAACAAGAGTGTCGCGGTGTTTCAGAACATCACACCATTCTACAGGTCAGTCATACTTAAGATACTTAATGGGGACAGGTAAAATAATCGTAGTAGTAGCAGTAGTATTAGTAGTTGTAGAAGTAGTAGTAGGGGTAGCAGGGTGACCAGGCGTCCCTATTTACCTGAGACGGTCCAAGTTTTGAGCCCTCTATCCCCTGTCCAATCAGATTTATACAAAACCAGTGATGTGTCCCAGAAATGTCCCATGTGCCCCTTTTTTGACCAATTTGATCTAAACCAGGACTAAACTAAAATTAAAGCCGCGCGCGGCGATGGTGGCCCTCGCCCCGGCGCGGCGAGGGCCAATAATAATAAACAAACAAACGTAAGAAACCGACGAAAAACAATACCCCTCGCCCCTAACAAAGTTAGGGCGAGGGCCAGTCATGGAAAATCTTTGTTAAACCACTTCTTGTGCAAAGTTCATATGAAACACAAACATTTTAATCCTCAAAAAAAAAGTCAAACGAGTTTCCTTCCACTAAACAAACAACGAAACTGTAGCTGTAACAAAATCATTTAGTAAAATGAACCAAAAATACTCTTGGTGATATATCGATAGAGCAGCCCACAATATCGATACTGTGTCATCACATTAAACGATACGATATATCGATATTTCAATATTTTTGCACACCCCTCTACTCTTTATCACACGAAGACCACAGTTCTTTAGTTTAAGGTCATGGTTTAAGGTCAAGGGTATATTTCCTCTGTTATTTCTGGCCATTTTTGTTTTATAATTGAGTTGTTTTGTAAGTGTTGCTGTACTTACTGTTACGCAGATAAAAAAGTGCGACCTACTCTGTGAAATCTACTCTGTAAAGTCTCCTCTGTGAAGTCTACTGTTTGAAATCTTTGTACGATTTGCTCTGTGTCAAGCTCAGCTAAATGTGCCTTTTCCGTTAAGCGATATGTGATTTTTGATTTGTGATTTGTGATTTGCCTACTCTTATAATCTCCCCGAGGCCAAACAAAGCTTTGAGTTAAAGCCCACAAAGCTTTGAAGTTTAGCTTTGAGTTCCGGAGTTGCCATGGTAACAAGGCTTTATGGAACTTTACATGTATGATGTCATCGGCGCCGTGAACCTGTTTCAGAGGAGTCATTGCGCGCCCCTACTGGCCAAACGTGGAAAATGCAGCATGTTCGTAATAGACTTTTTTGCTTGTAATCATGAGAATTTTATTCCCGAATTTGGTACAAATCCAATAATGTAGATGTTTCATGTCTATGCTAGGGGGCGCTATAGAGTTCACTTTTATTATATTTCATATTTCATTACATTCAGGCCTGGATCACACAGTTGTGATTTCGAATTTGAGTTCTCTAGGACAATGCCTGTGGCCATGACAGGTCACCGAAAAAACAGGAAATGAAGGCGTTTTTCGCCGGCGTGCTACGGGCGAACTGTAAGGAGTATCCCAAAAAAATTTGGCAACTTCTGTGAGTTTATGTCTGTAGATGTGACATGTCAAATTTGAGCTCATTTGGACCAAACCCCGGGGACTTGAATCTTTTTGTAGACCCCCAAGTCAAAACGGCGGCGAATGTTTGATCCAATATGGCCGACTTCCTGTTCGTCATAGGGGTGCAGAATGATTGACTTTTTTTGCTTGTAATCATGCGTAGAATTTAATCCCCAAATTTGGTGCTAATCTGATAATGTTGACATTTCATGTCAATGGTAGGGGGCGCTATAGTGTTCACTTTTAATATGTTTTATACTGTTTTATATTCAGGCTGAGATCACACATTAGTGATTCAAATTTCAGCACGATCCGATTAAACATGGGCATGTCATCATTTTTTAACTATTTTTGGGGGGAGTCTTTGCATCCCTGCTGGCCAGTGGTGGAAAATGCATCATGTCCGTAATAGACTTTTTTGCTTGTAATCATGTCTAGAATTTAATCCTTGAATTTGGTACTAATCCGATAATGTTGATGTTTGTCAATGCTAGGGGGCGCTATAGAGTTAATTTTTCATCTGTTTTATAGTGTATTATATTCAGGCCATGATTAGGCATTAGTGATTCAAATTTCAGCACAATCGGACTAAGCCTGTGGGTGTAGTAATTTTTTAACTATTTTTTGGGGGAGTCTGCGCCCCTGCTGGCCAATAGTGGAAAATGCATCATGTCCGTAATAGACTTTTTTGCTTGTAATCATACATAGAATTTATGTCCCGAATTTGGTACAAATCCGATAATGTTGACGTTTCACGTCTATGCTAGGGGGCGCTACAGAGTTCACTTTTATTAAATTTCATATTTCATCACATTCAGGCCTGGATCACACAATTGTGATTTGAATTTGAGTTCTCTAGGACAATGCCTGTGGCCGTGACAGGTCACCGAAAAAACAGGAAATGAAGGCGTTATTCGCCGGCGTGCTACGGGCGAACCGTAAGGAGTATCCCAAAAAAATTTGGCAACTTCTGTGAGTTCATGTCTGTAGTTGTGACATGTCAAATTTGAGCTCATTTGGACTAAACCTTGGGGACTTGAATCTTTTTGTAGACCCCCAAGTCAAAACGGCGGCGAATGTTTGATCCAATATGGCCAACTTCCTGTTCGTCATAGGGTCATGCTCCAATTCATCTTTTGGCTTGTCTCATTGTTCTCTATCACTGTCCCGAATTTCATTTCCCTGCAACAAACTTTGCCTGTCCCCACTCCCATAGGGGTCCAATTCTAGGCGGCGCTGTTGAGTCGGGTCACTCGGGTCATTGTTGCGATGCCCATTTTATCGAATTTTTCGCTGGGCTGATCGATCTGGACCCCGGTTTGGGGACTTTTCGTCCATGTTCAGGGGGTCAAAAATGCGATCGTTTGGTCGGAAAAGGGAATTTAAAAAAAAAGAAACCGACGAAGAACAATACCCTAATTGGCCCTCGCCACTAACAAAGTTAGGGGCGAGGGCCAATTAGCAGTAGTAGCAGTAGCAGTTGTAATAGTTATGGTACTAATAGTAGCAGAAGCAGCTGTAGCATTATTATTAACAGTTAACATCAATATCAGTATATTTTATTACAAACCAAAATGATTAAAACAGTACAAAAATACATTTTTATTAATATATATGGTTTTATACATATTCAACAAATTCTCCAAAAATATGAAATTGTTTTCATGTTCCATATTTGAGCAACAGGGGGAAGCACAGCACAGGTCAGTTCCAATTACACCAGGATCAGTGTAAATCATATTTCAAATAAAATATAACATAAAATAGAAATATGTTTGAATAAATAGTCCATGAAATAAAATGATTGTTCATGTTCACAGATCCCGGAAGACAGGAGGGAAGTGTGTTGCACAGGGACACAACAACAGGGTTAAAAGAGAGGATCAAACTGACAACTTTAACTAGACTTTCACAGAACTCCTTCTTCTCTTCTCTCTCTTTTGTCACTCCTCTCCTCCTCCCGTATTTCCCTATCCTTTCTCCCATTACTCCTCTCTCCCTCTCTTCCTCCTCTCTTTTTTTCTCTCCTTCTTCCCCTGAGGAGGTCTTTGGTCTCTCTGGTCCTCCTCATACTCTCATACTCCTCTCCTCCTCTCTCTCTTACACTCCTCTCCTCCATCAGCCGTATTTTTCCATTTTCCCTTCTGGAGGTGTCTGGTCCTTCAGTCGTTCCTGGTGGAGGAGGTAGAGAGCGTAGTGGAGATGGTGCTGAGAGCAGGTGGAGAGGAGACAGCCCGATGACGCCCTCTGTTTGCTGAGAGAGGGAAAACCAGTAAGGAACCAGGACAACCCTAGTAAGATGCCCTCCTCTGTCTGCATAGTAGTAGAAGTAGTAGGAATATTTGTAGTATTTGTAGTACTTACTTGACAGTCACAGTTTTCGGGCTGTCCTCTGGTTTGTCTCTCTTTACTCGACTTTGGAGCCTGAACCCAAGCAATTCAAATCAAAATTATTGTAAAAATCAGAACATAAATTACATTTTATTATAGCTGAATAAAAATATTTACTGCATGTGTATCTCAGTTTGTCCCATGTGGTGTTTATGTGTGAGTGGATTCAGGAGAACAGAGGAGAGCAAAGAGAAGAGGAGCACGAGTCTGAGCCACAAATACATCTTTATCTGTGGAAAATACAGATTTCACATGAACACAATTTATCTCTGAAAAAACATATATGCATTGTGTTTACAAACCAAGGGAGACAGTATTCACCCATTTCAATAAAATGAAATATTATAACTTCAATTATAACAAAAATGAGAAAAACTCTTGGCAATGCTCAAAGTGACTGAGTGGAAAAGTCTGCAACAGATAAACAGCTAAAAATGTATAATAATACTTTTTTTTAATTTTTTTAGATTTTATTTTTATATATTTTTATATATATATATATATATATATATATATATATATATATATATATATATATATATATATATATATATATATATATATATATATATATATAGATAGATATAGATATAGATATAGATATAGATAGATAGATAGATAGATAGATAGATAGATAGACAGATAGATAAAAAGATAAACAAATTAATAAATAAATAACAAAAATATATGTTATATATATGTATATATATTTTTGGTGATGCACACATACACAACAAAAGTTATTCAGCAATGGACACATCTC